TCCTCCTCTTCCGCAGCCCCCTTTACTCCTTGCTCCGAGCTCTCTCCGCCTCTCTCCCTCTCTGCACCCGGCCGCCCAGCATCCCCTCGCCCCCCTTCGGTGCTCGATCATATGAATTACTCGCAGCACCGGTGCACCCCAATGATGGCTCTTGACACGAGCCGGGCTCGTACGATCGTGCCCCGGTACATCCCCTTTACGGAATCCTCGCCGCCGCCCCGTCGACCGCCTCCCCGCCGCCCCGACGACCGCCTCCCGCGACCCCCCTTCGTCTGCTCGACGCACGAGTTGTGACGTCACTGGTGCACTCGCTCCATCCTCGTGATTCTGTATTTTGACACTGGAAAACCTTTAAATTGTCCCCCACTTGATATGGGGAAGGGGAACAATTTTTTCCTCGACCGGAAACTTTGAAAAAAAAAAATTCAATGGGGTGGTTTCCTCGTGACGGTAGGGGGGTTTATTGGAATGTTTTAGATTTTCACGACTTTCGATATCTTCTGAGATCTTCGACATTTTTTATACATTCGAGAATTCTTTTGACATTTATTTCTTTGTTATGGGATTTTTTATCATTCGGAGGGCGGCGTGGTTTCTTGAATTTCTTTTTTTTTTAGCTAAGCGGATTTTTAAAATGGCCGCGTAGACGCGCTCGGTGATCATTATTAGCGGTGCAGAGGCAGGACGCGATGGGCGGCTGATTACTTGGAGGGCCTCTTCAGACCCGCTCGTGATTCGTCAACTTTCGAGCACGCGCCTCTCTTTCTCCGGCGCCCTCGACGCGTCCTTTTTCCATCGCGGTATCGCGAGTACTCGAGGGCCCTTCGCGGCGCTTTTGCAAAATCCGCGGAGACGCGGAATCGAAAGGGAAGGGTCCGACTTTCGCTGGCTTCGCAGTTCTTCCTAACCGGCACCCTTTTCCGGGGCAGATAACGATCCCGACGCGGACCCGCGAGGTCGCCAAGATGGCGGCGCGCGCGGCGTTGGCGGCGCCACATTCAAATTTCTCGACTTTCGGAATATACTCGCGATCCGTACCGAGAAGGAAGTATTACCGGGAATCTCGAGTGAAAGGGAATCGAATTACGGATAAGGATTATCACCTCGAGGAGGCAAATCCTCGGTATAATCAGAAATTGGGTGGAATCGAAAATACGAGTCCGCATCCAAGATGGCAGCGCGCACGGCAACGGCCTCGTGGATGCCGACTCACGTTTTCGAATTTATTCCCCCCTTTTTCACGGGGAGGATTGAATTCCTCGAGGTGACGGTCCTTTCCTACGATTTGGCGTGTTTCATTCGATATTCACGGTGATTCGGAGATCCGAAAATGTGGAAATCCGAATCCATGGCCGCGCTTAGAAGCGACGGGGCGCAACAATGGCCGGATGAAAATGGCGGTCTCTTCCTTTTTTCTCCCCTCTCTGTCTCGCGCTCGTTAAGCGGCCCGGTACGCACCGCGTGACGCGAATCGGGGCTCGCCTTTTATTTATAAATGTACATACGTAACGAGCACAAATGCTACGGATAGACAACGGCAGGTCTGCACGAGGCGCTTCAGCGTCGCGGCGCTCGTTACGAGCGATCGATACCTCGACGAGGACGATTCGCGCGCCCAGACGCGGCCGTTGTCTCTCTTTCTCTCTCTCTCTCTCTCTCTCTCTGCCTTTTTCCCCTTTTTTCACGGGAAATAAAATACCCGCCGCTGTGTTGCCTTCCTCGATATTCCGCGGATTTCCATTCCGGCGAGCTCGCGATCCGTACAATCGGAGTGGGGCCCGCGAAAGCTACTTACCGCCATATTTGTTTCTCTTATTCTACCCTCCTTTTTCCCTATTCGGAAAGAGATCGCAGATTTTCCCCGGCCTCGTTACCGGAACGATCCACTATCCATTCCCGGGATTTTTAGAAATACGTCTCGATACACCGCGACGACCTATCGACTTCCACTAATCCACTCCCCCCATTTTCCACGAGGTAGGAAATCCACCCTTCCGTATAAATACCAGGAAAAAAAAAAGTTATGTAAAACGACGACCCCTGATTTAATTCCCCGAGGAACTCAATGCGGTCCTTCCCCCGATACCCTAGAATCCGGAGTCCTAACCTAACTCTCCCCGTTTTTATTTAATTTCCCCATCGAGAAGGGGTGGTTCGCGAAGAGGAAAGGGCGCGACTTCTGCCCGAGGTTTACTTCCTAATTACCGGTTTCCCCGATCCCAGACACCGAGGAAAAAAGAAATCCATTGAATCTCAGAAAATTCAAAGAATAACTATTAAACCGAAATAGACTAAGGTAAATTATCGTAATTCCGAGGAAATGTTACATTTAATTTATTCCAGTTCATTTGAGTGAAATAATTATTCTTTAAATTATTTCTCTGGCTCAATGGAGGGTTTCTTTTTCCTTTCTTTCTTCTTAAATCGGTGTATCAATTTTCCTGGATCCTTTGATTCGACGCCGAAAAAAGGCGCCTTGGGGGCGCTTTTTTTCCTAGGGGGATGAAAAAATGGCTCCGAGGGACGGTTTTCAATGACACGTCGGGTAGGACTAACGTTTTGGACAGGATACAGGTTGCCTGCCGTGCCTTGGAGCTGGTTAGGAGCGGCGGCACCTTCGGCGGCTGCAGCGGCAGCAGTTGCAGCGGCCGCGGTCACGCCATCCCCTGCAGCTGCACCCCTCGTCATCACCCCCAGGGCTGCGGCGAGACGGAGGTATAAGGACCTTAACCTTGCCTGCCCCTTTCGTTGTTTCGTCTGACTCGTCTCCCAGGAGCCTACTACCACCCCGATGCCCGAACTTTGTCTTCTCGTTCTTATCAGTCTCTCCCCCAGCACCCCCGACTCCACCCTGCCATGTAACAAGCACTCTCTTTCTCTCTCTATCTCACCTGCACGATCACGCACACGGTTGTTGCATTCGTTAGAGCTCCTGCAACAATGGCACCCCCCGACGCACGTATCGATGTTAACAATGTTAACCCTTTCGCCACCCTAGAGCGAAACGCCCCGACCTGTGGCAAAGTACACCAAAATTCTCTGCCTCCTCTAATTAACCTAATTCCATAATTTATTGATCACAATGAATAATTAACGAGTGCCGAGAGAGTTTTTCATTTTGGATTTTGTAATTTCACGTTTAACGTATTTTGGTGATATCGGTAACGTGTGCATTAATTGGGATTCGCGTGGTAATTATTGAATATAGAGTTTGGGGGATTCGATGTCATTTTGGACGCGGAATGAAATTTTTTGAGATTTTTTTCGAGGCAGAGTCCCGGTGAATTTTGGGAAACAAGTCGGGGACCTCGAAGAGGCCCTTGCCGGGATCCCCAGGTCGGTCTTGACTGTTTTTCCGTGTTCGTTTGTGACCCTGTAGCCTGAAGCCTAGATTTTGCCTGCTGCATCACGGCCTGGTCTTGTTGAAACGCCTGTAAAGAGGTCGCGATAGGTGTAGTTCGGGGTACCCTAACGTCACCCCGAGGTCTCGATGAGACCCTAACCGGCCCTCGCCATTTACTCACGGTGTTTGCTCGAGTAGTTGGACTTGGCTCCTTCAGCTAACCGATCTCTTCGACATCTTCTCCGAGGGCGAGGTCAGTGCAACTTGAGAAAGATACTGCAGGTCACGAGGCTAGCGATGGAAGGCCAAAATCTACGAGATGCTGAAGAAAGGTAGGCACAGGATCATCGGAGTCAGGAAGTCATCCGGGGTTTACTTGCTCCATTGACCCCATATCGATTCACGAGATCGAACGCAGAAGAAGGAGCGATCGCATTATCGGATGTCGAAGAACCCGAAATAAAGAAGCCGAAGAGCATTCCTCCATCTCATCTAATCGGCGCAGACCACCAGAACAGGAACGACCAGGAACGAGGGGACGATGACTCCAAAAACCAGGCACGTCACCAGCCTGAAGAACTTGGTCTTCAGCAAGTACTTGCAGGAGGTGACCCAGCCGATGGGACCGTCTTCGTCGACCTCGTACAGGATCTGAAAATCCCCGAGCCTGATGATTTTATGGCGGACCCTGAAGGAGGCCTCGTCCTCGGAGGGTAGAGCGAATCGCACGGAGGAGGTCAGGCTTCGAAGAGAGACGGAATTCCTCAGGGCCGGCTTCAGGGGTTTCACGGTGCCCAGGACCGTGACCACGGACTCCAGGGACGCTTGCGAGTGCACGGGCTCCAGGAAGTTGATGGATTTCCTCTTCTTCTTCCTCTTCGGGGGGTACCTGGCCCTGAAGGGCAGCACCTTCTGCGCCAGAGTCTGCTCTCTCGGCAACATCTGCGCAGCCCCTAACTGCTGATAAACAGTAGGGACGATCCTCTGAGCCGGCGTCTTGGGATGCCAAGGACGCTCCACCGACTTCTGCGGGATCCCCCATCCTGGGGTGCAGCTCGCACCCGCACTCGTGGTTGGCAGGTCCTGGTCCAGGCCCAAGGACCTGGTCGCCAGGGGCCGGTAATCGCTCAAAGACAACTTGATCTCCAATCTAGACGATCTCTCCGCTCTTCGAGCTCCCTCTTCGACTAAAATCGACTGATCGGCTCTTCCAGTCCCTGTCTTCTGGACCTGGGGACCAGCGGATGGGTCTTCGGGGTCTCTGTTCAGGTGCAGAGTCTCCCTCGAGGGACTCGCGCCAGGGGATCCGATTTTTCCCGCGGTCTCCACCGTGCACCTTGCAGCGTCCTCTTCCGCTGCAGGTCTACCTACAGCGCCCTGAGTTCTCCACTCGTCGCTCGACTCGCTTCCGACGTGCCCTGTCGAGTCGTTCGCCCCAGACCCGTATTTCGGATATGTTGGGGGTGTTCCCCCCCGATTCCTCGCAGCCTCGGCTGCAGGCTCGTGTTCCCGACACCCCTCCGGCTGCTGCTCCTGGTGCCGCTGCTGCTGCCGCCGCCGCTGCTGTTCCTGCATCAGGCTCTCACCTCGGCCAACGCTCTCCACCGGTGATCCTCAGTGATTTACAAGGTAGGCCGTCGTGGCATGTGTGTTGCAGCTGCAGCACTCAGGGGAGTCGCCATCCAGCGGGGAAGAGTCGGCGCTGCCAGGGCCGCGTTCCCCACTAGCGCCGCTGCACTTGCACTTACCCGGAACCCCGGGCCACTTGCAGCTGCAGCTGCCGCCACGGCCCTGCATCCCTTCGGACACGCGTAAGTATTCGAATTAACCCTCTCCCGCCAGGTGAATTTTCTCTCTACCTCGCGGTGAGTACTCTCGCACCTGATTAGAATACCCTTGCAAAGGTCCTCCACTCGGTACTCACGTGGAATTATCTCCGAATTTCCAGATTCTCCATTTTGGAGATAATTCATTCCTCGGTGCAATTCATCCGGAAATTCAGGAATGAAATTTTTCAATTCATTTTCGACCCTCTTGGAAATATGATCCGTGGAAATTTCCCGGCTGATCGGATGATTTTCCTTCGCAGAGCTTGATGAATCGTTCGGATTTGAAGGGCCTTTGCAGGATTATGGTTGACAGTTCTGGTTACTGCACATCATCGTTTCCGGCTCCGCAAAGGGGTTATGTTTTCCCGGGAATGCCAAGCACGTATGTCAGAGCTTTTCGGCCAGGACGAAGGCACTTCCTCCGGTTGCACGAGTCGCTCGTTATGTACTTGTGTTCTGCCTGCCCGAGTTTTAGCTTGTTTCTGCACGGCCCTAACCTGTACCGAACTAACTTCGCGGGGGATCCGAACCTGTCCCCTGGCGACTGGGATGAGAGGAGGATTCTCTTCCGTGGACCACTTCGGTCGGTCTTCAGATCCCCGAAAAAACTGAAACATAGAAAGAAAGAACCCATTTAAAGAATTCCACCACATCGAATCGAGACATTTTTTGCGCCGATAATTATTCGCAAGCCGATTTTTTTCTAATTTTGCGACTCTTTAAAAATAATTCCATGACGCCGTATTCTCGTATTCGTTCTATCGACTTCGAGGACAATTTTTCAGGGCGGTAGTTTTTCTTGAATTTCCCTCGATCGGTGTAACCGGTCCAGGAACGGCGCTGTTATTTCCCAACTTTCCAGCCGGAAAAAAAATGGGGGGAAGCGGAAAATTGGCGCAGAAATAGAGGAATCCGGCTAAACTCGCGACCATTATTTCTTCGGACGTTGAGTTATTCCTGGGATCGGTCGTTCATTCCGACGGACATGTTCGACTCAGCTCAAACAGGACCACAATTGGCGGACGGTATGCCGTGAGAAATTAGCTTTTCCGCTCGTAGCGCGTTTCTCGTAAATTTCCGAAAAGCCATCGGCCCTTTCATTCGGACGCGTCAAATTTGTTTCTTTGGCCCTCTCGGAAGCGATTCGCTGGTCCATTAATTCGGCGCAATCGGCTATGAATTTAATTGCTCCATAATGTGTACTAATTACGACTTTTTATTGTTTACAGTGTCTATTACGACCCCTTCCTAGCAGCACATGCAGCGACGCAGGATCCTAACTACAGGCTGCAGGTAAGGCTGACATACCAGAAATTACTTATTCATGCAGTTTACCAATGTCGATGCGTGAGCGGACACGAATGGGACTGCGTTACGGTGAAATATTGTAAAAATGATAATTTATAACGAAAAAGGGAAATTGAACCGAGGTTTGCGTGATGTGCAATTTTGATATTACCTTTTTTTTTTTATATTTCTTTTTTGACACCGTCCATGTCCGTCCACGCATTCGACGGTAATTCTGGAATACTCAAAGCAATGATTTGTTACTAAATGAACATAACTGCCGGGCGTTATAGCTGGAATGGCCGCAAGCAACAGCTGACGTTAGTTGATACGTTTTGCCAGGCTTGCACAATGACGCGATATATCACTCCTATCTTGTATGCTACGTATATCTATACGTGTATATTGTTCTCCTTTATCAATGTCCCCTCTGTACCTGTCTCTCTCTCACTTTCTCTCCTCTTCTCTGTCTCTCTCACTCCCCCGCGAACATAAACTCACGCAGCTAACTTATTGGTCCACGCTTAGTGCCTCACAAATCAGTAATTAGGGAAATAAAGGTTATCTTTTGATAAATCGGCTCGATAATCGTGAATTTTATTAGTACATTTATATTGAAATTTCTACATCGAAGTACCATTATTTCTAAGCAGAGAGACTAATTTTGATTTAGTTTTCTCATCAACTTTTTACTAAAAATTATCCGAAACTTTGCATTGAATTGAAAATATTGCATTTAGGAGTATTCTTTGGGGTAGGAAAAAAAATTGAAAAGATGGAAATTATTTAGTGGGAATGTAGTTGAATTAATGGGGAGGAGTAATTTTAAACGATCACAGGCCTGGAGACCTGCTAGAATGCTTCTGATCATTTTCTATCACACGGTGGGCTTAAACATTGCCAATGACGACGCGGCATCTTGTTGCATTTGTTGCATTGTCTTTTCTCTTCCTCTTCACCTCACGGCCCCTCTCACCTCCCCGCACGTAATTCAAACATGGCCGCAAATATGGCGGGCTCGATGCAGGAAATGCGAGCGCATTTCCATGGTGGCGTATTTACCCAACCCTCCGTTCGATCGCGTCGATATTCACGGTATAGACTCGTTCACTGGCGTACTTAACAACGAGTATCTTTACCCGCGTGTAGGTCGATACGTTAACGAGAAAATCCAGTCGAAAAAGCCGAGGTGGGAGGGTTTGCGCACACTTTTCAAGTATGCCGTTTGTGTTTCAGGCTAAAGCGCCGCCACTGGAGGTAGGAATTACGCTCGGCCCGATATTTCGCTCTTTCCTTCTCTATTTCCGTTTCTTAGCATCCTTCTTTCTCACCTCTCGCTGTACCCTAGAGTCCCAATCAAGACTTCTAAGGGATATGAAAATGGCATGATCAATCCTTCGCGAAAGTATTATCCGAATTGGATGTAACCATTTGTTACCAATTGTTACTTTAAACTCCTAAATTTTGTTAAGCTCGGTCGTTTAGAATTTTCAAAATTCACGGGGATTTCTTATCGCGTTTCCATGAAACTTACCATAGTCTTGACGCGTTTCCATAAAACTTGATAACGTTTAAGCGGCATCCTTATTTACGTTGTAAACGTTCGTCAGTAAGGAATCGCTGACATTTTTTTCCTGGTTGACGATGATTGGCAGCCACTGTTAATTGCCAACTCGCCTTAACGGAGAAAGTACCGGAAACGAGGAAAACCGACATTCGGTCGCTGTCGCTTGCTTGGAAACGAGCCCTAAGCTGGAGCCTTTGGACGGTCTCTTGGTAGAGAGAGTTGGAATTGTTTTTCTCCGTGGTTTATTGTCCTCTTTCGTTTCCTTCCTTACGTGCCTTGCAGATTACTCTATCCGTAGACCAAGTGCGTCTAGTGCAGACATAACCTTAATCCCCCAGACGGTTAGGAGGCATGTACTTAACATAGAGCATTAATTCATTAATTAATCTACGGTAGTAAAACTTTCCTATTGACCCGACGTACCAGATTCCACGACTCTCAATTGATTTCCACAAATTTTCTGGAAAAATTAAATCTTGTATTTTCTGGGGAATCAATTTTCAAATCTCGCGCCAATATGGCGGCGCGGATCGAGAGCGCCCATTTTTCCGGGCCATTTTTCGTCCTCGAAAACCGGCCCTATATCACGTGCCAATACTCAGATTGGACGGAATAAACTCGCGTAAACTTTCCGCCGTGGGATTTCGTAGCTCGTCTATTTCCACGGATTACGAATTTGGTTTCTCCCCTCTCTCGGTTCTCTTCCTCTCGATCTCCGCCACGCGTGCATCGGCCTGACGGGAATTTACGAGACGGTTTCTCCTTGCCAACTCTGCGCTCAGACTTTGTAAGTCCTTCCATAACTCACGCGGATGCTCGTCATTTCGCCGAGGAAATGACAAGTAATGGCTCCATCGTCTGCTTTTAACCCGCGCCACTTTCTGTTTCATTTTCCCCCGCGGAAGATGACGCGTCTCGTCCTCTCCCGTGAAGAGGTAATTCCGTTTCCTGGAAAATCATATTTTTACCCGGGTGATTTTCGTTTTTCTGTGGCGCGGCAATTTAATCAAGTTAAAGAGATCATTGAATCGCGCAAATTGAGTCGTCAGACGTTGCCGGGGGGAACAAATAGGGGGTAATTTGATGATTCAGCCGCGACCAGACCGCCCTTTGGACGGGGGTTGATGACTTCTCTAATGGCGGCCGTCTCCGTTTCTCTCCTCCTCTTCTGGGGTCCCTTGAACGTCTAATTCACCGGCACTTGGTCGCACTAATTAGCACACTCGACGCGCTACTTTTCGCGCGACTGCGGACTCTTTACGAAGTTTGCAGACGATGTTAAACCTTGGAGTGGAAGATGCGAGGGTCGAGTCAGACATCCGGAGTTCTCGCAGTAGGAGAAGCGAGACTCGGTCAGACGCGCGAGTCTGCCAACCTGCGGAAAACGGGGCTCAAAGTCGAAACTCCGCAAATTCGAGGCTAAGACAAATCGCCAAAGACACCCTGAGACCCCAATCCTTCTCTAAGTCACCTATTTTATCGCGAGATAAGTCTCTAAGGAATTGATAAAAAATCCAGATCTCTCAGGAGACATCTCACGGCGCGACAAAGTTCAGACTCCGTCCGGAACTGGAGTAAGCGGAATAAATATGAAAACGGCGTCGGATCTGGAAGCTTCGTGGGGGGAAATTCACGGGAAATATTTTCCCGGACGTTCCTTGCCATTGAATATTCTAACGGGGGAAAAAAGAGAAAAAGTACAGGGAAAAACGGAGTACGCTGTATTATTCTCTGGAGTCATTTTCCGAAGTGCCGGCTTTTAGAAGACGTACGGGGAGACGTTACCTTCGAGTATCCGGCCGATTTTTCCGGGGAAAATAATTTTTCCGCGGAAATCCGAGGCACGTGACCGAGGAGGTCCTGCGGGACGTAAAAAGGACCAAAACCGAGCGTTTGGGATTTCCTAATGCCTCTGGCAGAAACTTCTTCCGGGAGAGAAAACAGAAACCTCTTGCCTCTTCGAGTACAGTCTCTGTTTTCTTTACCTACCCAGTAACTTCCTCGGGTTTACATTACCTCCCGGAACTTAGCCGCAGCTGCAACATAAATGGCTATGGCGTCGTTTCTGAAAACTCCCCGTTCCCGGAATCCCTGGGAGCATAATGTCACATTGAGCGAGCTCCATTAATTATGTCCCTTTCATCGCGGCTCCAAGCTTCAGAAAAAAAGTTTCTTTACAATCCAGTAATCCTAATTGCGCCTCGCAAACGTAATTGGGTCTGCCCTGAAGAACCCAAAGCCGCCGTCTGCATAGCTCTAAAAAAGATGTCAAAAATATTGCAGGAAAACATGGCAACATATTTTCTAAAATCCCTTAGGAAACGATTTCCGCGCTTTTCATTGAGAGATTATTCAAATTACCCCGGGGGAGCCGTTTAGGTCATGCTGGAAATTACCGGAAGTTACGAAAAACCCGGAAAACTGACCTCGGGGACCACTTTTCCGCGGTCTCAGGGTCCAGCACTGCAACCGCTGTTTTCCTAACTCGCGTCTTCTCCGCACCGGTGGCCGCATTTATTTTCGTAAACCCGTCTCTGCGGTTTCTGTGCATTCGGGCTCCAGAACATACACCATCCGAGATTCCAAACCAACAAGCGAGCTTCTTCCCCCGAAAATATACACGGCCATCTTACCCTTTTCCTCGAACCCTCCTCGAACCTCCACCTTCGCTTTTTTTATCTCGACATATTTCTTTTTTTTTGAGCGCTGTGGATTTTTCTCCGCACGGGGAACAGCATCGTCCGCGATTTGCATATAATAGAATCCTTCGGTGTTCCCTGGGACCCAAGTTTGGGATAAAAAGGCGAACTTCTGATATACTGTGCCCAGACTCTGCGCGCAAGAAGATGGACCCACGTGTGCACATCCTAACCTAACCTCTCGAATCCTGTTTTTCGTCGAAGCGAACTGCCGACGAAGTTGGCCAGACTTTGGCTGCGCCAAAACTTTCTGGCGCCGCCTCTGTTTTCGACGGAAGTTGCAATCGATATCACCAGGATGTATCCTGAAGGAATTATGGTGCGCCCTTCTGGCATACGGAGCGGACTTCCGGTTGCGTTTAACTACCTCGTTGCAAGCCCTCGAAAAATGGAGAGAAATTCTCAGTGACTGAGGCCCATCCCGAATTCGATACAATTCTGCCAACAATTTTAAAAAGGCTTTATCAAGAGCACCTGATTGCACCCCAATGCAGCCGGTGCATCGTCAACTTCCGATTCTTTTTTCCTTCGTTTCTCTTCCAATCCTCAGAAATACTTTTATATCATTTTCTTTCCATCATTCTCAAGAGGGTTCCCTGGACATGTTTTGTTGCACCTGGGACAGTGATTGCATGTAGAGCAGGTGAAAGTCTCCATTCCAGGTGGTAATCGGATAACGATTGTCAATTGCCGATAGCTCATGTCGGTATTATGCGTAATGACTAATGGCGGATAATTCCACCTGAGCTGTTTCTCAATACCTGGATTAACTTTGGGGCCGACCCACTTCCGCGTAAGTCGGGCTCTGATTAATTGATCCCCGATTTAGGGGGCCGTGGAATTTTGCTATAATTCCGAGGCACGAGTAATGCAATTTGCGGCATTCCAGCTGCAGGCTGCAGGACGAAATTGAAATATCAGGATGGAATCTAGTCTCGTTTGGTCAACACGCCGCTCGAGATATCATGTCCTAGATGCATGCACATAGATCTAAGTTTCCTCTAATAAGTGGTAGTCCGGCCGTGGTTTGAGGTTATCTCCATCGGCATAAATCACCAGCGCATTATAACGCAACTGGCCGCGGTCGGAGGTGTATACCCTACACTCCACCTGAAGTCGACTGGTCACCTTGAAGAGGGAATAAATTCCGCGAGAAATGCTCCGATAAAAAAAAAATTCAATTCCGGGTCAATCGTCAATTCGGCCGAACGGCTCTTCAAGGTTCGAGTTCCTCGCCAATGGGTTTATTATCCAGCCATGGAGACGTCTTCAGGAAGTTCGTGCTCGTTAGGCGTCCCTCATTCGGCGGATGTGAAAATTTCCCCACTTGGAATTATCCCTCCCCCCCTTTTTTCGCCATTAATACCGAAAATTGCCAACCCCTTCTTCAGGGTTCCTCCGGTTAAACTTGAGCTCCGGGGAACGAGGTCGGAAGTCGAGATCTGTATTCCGGTGGAGATGAATTTTTTTTTCTCTTGCGCTCCAATAGTTCCCCCTTTAATTGTTATATTCCTGAAGAGAGTAGTCTAAATTATAGGAGTACTCTTCCCTAATGATATACTTCCGCCCACCTCCCACTCTGTACAGTAAAAATCATTTCCAATTACTTTCTTCCGCCAAATAACCATGCATGACCTCACTTCGGTCTCTTCGGTATCGAATCGACCTTACCTTCATCTCCATTTTCCCGATTTTCCGAAATCTCTTCCCGTTACCTCTGCATGGAAATATTTTCATAGATGAGGTACACGCTCCGAAAAACGGTAAAGGTCCAGTCACCGATAAAAATCGTGTACTTTATCCCTATCGATTAAAAAATCGCGTAATTCATCCCTATCGATTAAAAAATCGTGTACGTCATCCCAATAGATGAAAAAAATCGCGTAATTCATCCCTATCAATGAAAAAATCCTGTAATTCATCCCGATCGATAAAAAAATCTCACCTCCCCTCCCGAATGAACTCTAACCCGAAACTGTCCATGTTAATAATTTTCATCTCGAAGCATGTTGCAAAATCCATCTAGATAACTATCTGCATCGAGATGGGTTTTCGATTCTTCTCGTTGGACTAGATTGGCCGGAGGTGTCGGCAGGTGCAGCTTGATCCCAGTTGGGGTAGAGTCCGGTGTTCGGTACCGCACTCTCGGTACTCGTACTTGTATGTCGCGTCCGGAGATTCCGCGTCCGGAGATTAGTACAGTTTCGAGCTTGCTTGAGAGCTTGCATGGCGGGTTGTGGTTGTTGCAGGCGGCGGCCGCAGCTGCCGCAGCGTCTCCGCTCCTGAAGACGCCCCTGTCGACGGCCCAGCAGGCGACCTATGCAGCTGCAGCGACCTACACGGCAGTTGCAGCGCGCGCCTACGGTGCAGCTGCAGCGGCAGCGCAACCAGTCGCCGGATACGCCGCAGTCGCGGGGTAAGCATTTTCCCCGGATTTTTCAGGTTTTCCTTTTTTATCAATCCCGACACCCGGGGCTGATTAATCAATCGGAATCGGGGAAATCCAAGCCGCCTCGACGAAACAGGAGGATGAAAGATTTTATCACTTTTCTATTTTTTTCCCCTTTTTTTATTTTAATATTACGCTCTACTCCAGTAATTGAAATTCCCTCCCGAAGGGAGGAAGATGTCCTCGTCCTGGTTACTTGTTCACCCGTTCCCGGTTGCTTATCCGTGTGGACATTTCCAGCAAAAGTCGCCGACGTGGCCGTGTCCTTCGCAGTCGGAGACACGAAGACGATCCCGAATGCTACACCTATCCTGATAATCCATGAAACCTTGAAAATACAATTGGTAACATACCCGATGAATTTAGTAGTTTGAACCGGTATTAGACAAATTTGGAATATAAGCGGTGACGGTTAAAAAATTATTATACACGTGTACGTGTTCTGTTACTCCCTCCAGTTAATCTTTTGTACACGTTTAATGTCTACGGAGGTAAGGACATATTTTTAATCGTTTCTTTGACTTTCTTCGCAGTTACGGGAGGGAATATGCAGATCCCTACCTCGGACACAGCATCGGACCAGTCGCCGGTTACGGGGTAAGATGTTTATGGAATACTCCTCGTGGTAGAGAAAATTGTTAAAAATATTCATGATATTCAGGCACTTTTGGTACATAAGGTTGTAGGGGAATAAAATGTTTAACGTCCTAAAAGTGAATTAGTGCATACTTATTGCATATTTCTAAATAAATTCCTAATTTCACATCATGTCTTGTCAAATTTCATGGGAAAAATGATACGCTTACGTACCGAACTTACGATACATTTTATTAATTTCTTGCAAATATATTGTAGACTTATACCATGTCTGAATAAAACTTGAAAATGAAAAATATTATAAAATCGTAATATTTTTATTTAAACAGGGTATATTTCGTCAATTTAGAGGGCGGATTAAAACGTGAATTTCGATTTCAGGCGACGGTGTACAGAAGCGGCTACAACAGGTTCGCGCCGTATTAAGGCTGAGCTGCAGCCTTGGAATCCAAGTACAGTGTTATACTCAGCAGATCATGACCAGAGAAGCGACAAAATCATCATCCCCTCGACGACCCTCACCGCCGATGCTAGCCTTGGTAGCACTTTGCAAGCACACCCTTCAGCGTGCTGTGCCGCGAGTCCAAGTGAAACAAGGAGCGGCTCGCTGTTGTAATTAACACAAAACCGACCCGAAAACTTCTCCCGAAACCCTCGTGTCCCCGTCGCACGCTACAACAGCAGTTCAGAGACGTCGAAAGCAAGCCAAACTATCATGTTGATATACATATATATAATGATAATATCTAAAATTAGTCCTAAAGTTAATTAAGTTGCTGGATCTTAAGCTAGTTGATCGTAAGCTGCGACACCGTGGCCCTGGTAGGAGAGAGAGAGAAAGAGAGAGAGAGAGAGGATCGGGCCACCGGTCGGAGAGCAAGGTCTCGAACCCCGAAAAATCCGAAAGGAAATCGTCAAGCAGATCGTTCATCTCGTCGGCTCGCCTCGGCCCGATCGGATGTGCTAACATGACCGCTCGAGCGACTTTCGTCTCTTTTCTTGTTTTTTTTCTTCTTTTTTCTAGGATTTTTTTATACGTTTATTTAATCCAGCTCCTTCGCCAGTAGCTCTCGTAATTTCTAAACGGGTCGATCAACCGTGGGATCGGTTAGATCGGCTCGATCGAGGCGAGAAATACCCGGAGCGAGCTGTCGGGTCCTCTTTGAAGGACCCTGAAGGAGCGTCTTCAGGGTCTACGATGCGGATTCCGTATATTAAAATTAGCGGATCTCTCAGAATTGTACAATTCTCTCCCGATACTCATTCTACGCTCGCTCAGAATTTGTAATATAGATAACACGGAGAAATACCCGCGATTTGCGGGCGAGGTGCTCTGGACCCGGTCGGCCCTGGGATGATCGACCGTCTTGTTGGGATCGGCTCTTTTCCTCTTGTTTTTCACTGGTTTCTTTTTTTTTATTAAGGTAGAGAGGATGGGGCGATCGTGAGCGGATTCCAACTGGAATGACGATTCTTGGAGCCGGCATTTCCCGAAACCGTGCACCGGTAATCCATGTAAAGCACGAGACAGTAGGTAGCTAGTTGTAGCGAGTGTTTGCGTTCTACGTAAGAAAAGAAGCTGGTAGGTTTCTATGCCAAATATGTGTGTAGGTCGCGAAGCCGAGCACGTTAGGTACACTAGTTTAATAGAGTTTAAAATATATCCGGAAGCCCTCTGGACCGACACAAACCGGATCCTGATGATCACAGGGTCTAAGTCACTTGCACACCCCCTCTCTCTCACGCAGGTTCTAATCAAACGAGATCACTCGTAGTTTTGCATTCTGATAGCGACTTTCGAATTTGTCCGAGGTGACTATGTAGATATATTCTCGCGCTTAGAGAAGAGTCCTTCAAATGATTTTTAGACACGCTCTTAGGTCCACTTCGCGATGTCCTTGAATAAGGAGCACGTATGGCCAAGTTTCGGGGAAGGCATTTTGAGAGGAGCACGCTTGTCACTTGTTTACTTCATATATTTGAATAATATCGGTTTTATTAAACTTTTGCTGAGGAAGAAATTTCTAGAGATATTATTTATGTACCGTTTGAGAGGTCTTGGGAATAATTGGATATTCGTGCTCCTTATCTTTTGACTGCTGGCAGGATAACGCACGGGGCGGCCTTCCTGGCTAATTGCAAATTTCTAATTGTAACTTTAAAGAATCGTACAAATGCAAGAGTCAGGGGACGACCGACTCCCTTGCGAGTTAATGGTAAATGATCCTCTAAGTCATGTTAACTGACGATCGACCGACACTTTCTACATTTTATCGTACAAACCCTTCGAGGAAGAATTTCCTCAGCATCTGAGTTGCGACACTCGCGATCGGAACCTCGTCCTTCCCCTTGTACAGAGAAAAGATATCGAAACATTTTTGCAATCGCACATGAAAAGACGAAACGCTGTTAGGGACATGGACGAAACTAGGTCCTGAGTTTTATGCAGTTTAAATAAAACTATCAGAGTCCTCGTTTCTTCCATCTTCTCAATTTCGCGCGAATTACGAATCTACCCTTTCATCCATTCGGGTTAAACGTCAGCGTCAGGCCAGAACATCCTTAATGAATAATTTCATAGAAAAAGAATGATATATTAACCGACAATTACAATTACACATAATACTCATACCGATATTGCATGTATCACGAAGTAATACGACAAAGAGAGCAATGAAAATGGCAATAAAAATTCGAATAGACGTGTCGAGCAAGAAACCCGAAAAAGAGCAAAACGCCAAATAAGACCTTCAAGGGAAATGTAACTCATCGTCAAATTATCGCTACGTTGCTTAGACAGCAATTAAATGGCACCGATAATTACCCTGCTTCCACTTTGTTACGTGTCATTAAATTGCACGATTGAAGTACTCTGGCCTGATCCTGAAGTGCGCCACGAAGAGCACCATCTATGCAATTTCACGTGCATATTAAATTCCCGAAATCGCTTCCAGACTCTCGGGCACCTGACATGATGTTCACTTCGCGTATCACCAACCCCGCCGAATAATCATCCGATCATTTCCAGGAACGAAATCATTGGTTTGAGTCCTGTAAGTCCGACTAGACGGACATACTCGACTCATGAACAGACTGCATACTTTTTACGCGCACTTCGACATGCGGCCCGCAAGTTGAGACTCTAATTCTATATATAGTTATATATATAATATACATAGATATATACATACGAATAACACTACACATTACTGTCTATCACGGTACGGCACAGTTTACCGAATTCGTTTCGGCGATTACAAGTTAAGTTGAGATCGCATCCTGTAGCCAGTTCTACCGATCCGGAATTAATGCTAAAATCCACCTAGATTATATCGATCGCATAGATCAATTTCAAGTCGAAGACCTTCGCTGGATCGTACCTGCGGTCCAGTCGAGTTCCTGAAGAACGTTCTTGAAGAGGCGACAGGCAGAAGTGCTCCTTTCCTCGAGGACCATTTTCTGCAGCGGTCTTAACTGGAACGCCGGTTGCTAATTAATTGAATTGTAATTAAATCGAGTGACTATCGGTTGGACTGGGTACAAGCGTAGATTTTGCGGAAGATGAGGAACATGGTACGCACACCAAGCCGAGTGAGTGATATCCCTGTTACTAGGTTAAGAGAAGTTATACATACGTCGTGTAAGTGCGAGAGCGAGAGAGTGAGTGCGTTTCCCACGTGCTGGAAGGAGACGAAGAGGAACACGAAGACGTGGTCGAGCCGAGGTGGCAGCGACAAAACTAGAGTGCGAGACCGTGCGATTAAATAGCCAAATATGACAAAGATGTTAGGGAGCGCGCCAGCTAGTGGCGTTTACGTTTTAATCCAAACTTGCTAGGATAATGCTAGGCTAGGGAGAGAACTTGCTGAGCCAACAAGAGACACGTCTCGTGGCCCACCAAAAAATCATCTTCATTTCCCCATCGTCTTCGATTTCCCCGGTCACCTAAAAAACCAAATGGGGGCTTTCATTACTATAAACTAATTAAAATATGTACTTGCGAATTGTTGATAATTTTAAACTAAATTTATACGTGTGTGGCAATTGTGGTCCTGGTTCCATCGAGCGGTGGAAGGCACAATTGCTCCGATTTAAAGAGCCTGTACATGACGTTCAAGGGCCCAGGCACTCGATTTCAGGGTCTGTCTCCTAGTTTCTCGCGGAATGGAGGAATTCCTTCCTTCGGGGCTTCTTCGGACTCTGACATGTGTCTCTTGTCAGGCCTGGAAAGAGCAGAACTTGCGGGACGAGCGGACGCGGCCGCCAGGGCACACATATGTAAATAGCGGAAAATAGATTGTCGAGCACAAATCGCGCCCTGGGATGGGGCGGGGCCGATATTAACGATTATTTGGTAGCTGTTACTCTCACAGACATACTCACTTCTCGTAAGCGTAAATTAAAGATCTAGAGATCCTAAAAACTAGCGAGGTCGCCAGGGTAGCGAGCGATCATCGGATCCCCGAAGGAAAAGCTTCCTTTCGTGGGTCTCTTCGAGATGACTCGCTTAGTCTACTTGCTACTCGATGACTCTTTGAACGACGAAGCGATCTCTCCTTGACAGGTGACTCCTGTCAACGGATACGTTGACAGCGGTCACTCTTCTCCGCGAGCGAGAAATATTCTCTCTATCTCGGCTGGTCCCTGGACAGGCTTTTTATTTTTTCTATAATATTTTATACGTAACGCTACGTGCGACTTGAAATTCACTCGCACTCTGCGGAAGGCAAATCACGGCTGAGAAATTGCGCTCGCGTTTTAACTTGGCTGAATTAATAATAATTGAACAGTCCATCTCTCTTCTTGGAGAGCGATTAGTGTATTACTATTCAATTATCCGCGATTCCTTGCTGCACTGATATCGATAAAATTGTAAATTGAATTTATTCTCCCCGCTTGCGACGCAAATCTGTACAGGTCTCTCACGCTGAACATTGTTGGGAATTGTTTGTCCGATGTTGTTAAATCTTGTCGAGGTTTAACGAGTCGGTTTTTTCGACTTCTGGGATGCCGAAGGCTTTGCTGAAGCTTCTGGGGAAGGAAACGCGAGAGAGAGAGGATAGATTATCGGAATCGTACGCGAGGATGCCCGACTTCGAATCCCTTGTATATTGTATAACTGTAAAACTACAATTTATACTATTCGTAATCCATACCTTTAACAGGTAGGCTATTACCGTTAACAGATATAGAGAGTAAGTCGAGCTCAAACTCAGGCGAGGCTAACTCGCCGAGGAATCGTTGTATCGTTTTCTGTCGTGTGCACAACATCGTCTTTTCTTTTCTTTCTTTATTTTTTATTTAATCATTATTAATTTCGAGTATATTTCTACTAATACACCAACTTTCGCAAGGATTTCTCGTCGATGCCCACGATTTCGCGGCAGGCCTATCGGAGAATCACTGAAGGGACTCGGAGAAACAATTTGACATATCCAATTAAAGATCGGAGGTTCCACGAGACTCGACTGCGAATTACAAGGAAGGACAACCTTTTATTATACTTCGGCTATACTAAATCTGTAAAATGTCGAGTAAGGCCTTTAGGGAAGAAGATAAATTTTCGGAGAGAATTTCTGTTTTTCTCAATCGGCCGATTTTCCCGAGTTTTCCTGAGAGCAGAATTTTCTCATCTTTGCTTTCGTCGCAGGGCCTTCGGAATCGTTGCGTGCGGCTCGATTGCGACTTTAGAAACGACCGAAACTCGAAAATCTCGGCGTGGTATGGAAAAACAACCGACTAGGAGATATTCAACGATACGCACCATAACGATATACCGTAAAGAAATTTTTAAGTGATTATAGTTGGATACATGACTACATCTTACGAGCAACATATCCTAGCGTAAACGAGGCAGGGCGCTGCGCGAGATTAATCCCTATTAATCCGTATTAATTCCGTAATGTATTCGAAAAAATTCAGGAGTTTTCCATGACGTTCCAGAAAATGCAACTGCGCGATTTCCACCGGAGGAAATTTCCCTGTTAAGTAGAAAAAAAAAAAATTCATTTTAAGATCCTTTCGAGAGCGCCTTCCAGACGAGCGCGGGCGCCCTGCCGAAATTCGATTTTTCGATCGTAAAACGAGGAAATTCTGTAAGAGAGGTATGTTCCATGACATTACGACGTTATCGCATACTTTCTAGAGTGAATGAGCGCGTGAATGAATGTTGGAAAGAAGGGAAAACTGCGAGATAAAAATTAACCCGCGAAGGAATTCGCTCTTAGACCGCATCCCTCGAAGACGCGGTAGCACCTACGGCGAGACAACCGAAAATCCGTAATTTTGACAGACAGCTATTACCACTTTTGCTTTTTCCCCGATGTTAACGACGAAGAATCGCGGACTCGTCCGCATGTAGCGACAGGCAGGAAATTAAATGCGGAGAGGGGCGACGAAAGGAGGTGCGAAAGAGGTCCTTATTCGGACGAGATCCCGAATTTCGACTCTATGTCGACCCGCGTCTCCGAAAATTTCAGTCAAGATTCACGAGTCTATCGATACGTACCTATCCTTGCGGATCGATGCAAAAATTCGGGAACCAAAGGACAGGACTCGAGGCTCGTTTAGTTCGAAGCGAAAAATCACGTAAAAAATCACAAAAAACTACTGATAGTAATCTAAGGTGTCCTCGTTAACACCTTTCTCGATTGTCTGATTTGATGATATTTTGTAAGTCTGGACCAGTTGTTAGGTTCTTATTACTCCCATAGCGACTTCTTATGGCGTATTTTCTCTGTATATTGTCAATGTTTATTATTAAATATTTTTCAAATAAACCCTGGCATTTTTTTCTCCTCCACGCCCATTCTTCTTGGACTTTTTAAAGACCTGAAACAAAATTCCTACCTTCCCATGAACGCATTTTTATTATTAGAAATTGGAGAGATCTTCCGTATGTAAAGCTCTCTGACGAGGAAAGCTCGCTTGAATATGGATTACTCCTTCTTGGAATGTGATGCGAGGGAAATTCCTGTGTAACTGCGAATCTGGATCGCGGGAACACTGTAAAAAAGAATGCCTTCTCGGAACTTTCCGAACACCATTGACATTAAAAGGTGTGTCGATGCCCGGCTCGCGTCAGTAGTGCGCAGACCGTCGAGCAGGGAGGACGTCTGCTCGTCGTCAGCTGACAGATTCCTACACGTGTCTCGCTGCTGGATCGGAAATATTTGTTAAATCACCCCGGCCCTCCACTGTCCACATCCTCAAGCAGAAAGTCCACCGAAAAAACAGCGTAACTATAGAAAAAAAATAAAAAATAAAAATAATCCACTGTTTAAAAAATCCCTATTTCCAATTTTCGATCATTAATACTCGAAGAAAGATTTTTTAAATTCTATTAAAATCCACTTAGGAATATTTTCGAACTCCCTCGGGCATTCCTCCAGGAAAGCCGGAAACACGTGAGTCAATATTGGTTTTAATAATTTCTTTTGAGAAATGAAATATCCAGGGGCGGTAGGAAATTACCAATAATTACGGGAGGCACGCAATCGTCCCGTTGGGATAGAGGTTCTCTTGGATCATTGTTGAATAACGGAGCGGTGAGATGTTAATACAGGCAATTAACAAGATGGGGCATCTCTTGTGGGGTCAGCTACCTAACGCGGATGTCGTGCGTCCCACCTAATGCTGAAATGTGACCAGGGTCGTGTGGCAAATTTCGAAAGCGCATTTGGAGATATTCAATTCGTATTGCAGGAAGTCTTTGGGGAATTTTCAGTCGGTTCCGGACGTGAGGATACTTCAAAGCGAATACGAGCCAACTGGAGATGCTCTGGTCCTCTTAAGTCGGACTCTAGGCGCCTTAGGAAAACAAATCCTTCGGGATTTATTACGAAAACACCAGGGAAGAGCGGAAAGCATAACTCCGTGGGATTATTTTGTTTTTTCCCCGATTCTTTATCCGTCCCGTGGGAACTCAGATATCTGAGAATAACCAATCGATGCACCGTGGAAATCATTTCTATTTATTTTCCTTCGATAACGCGCGTGCATCCTCCTCGTGCTCGATAAGAAATTTGAAAGGGAAATAAATATAAAAAATATGATATATGTTCTACAATTATTAATAATCATTTTATTAACAAACAGGTGAATTCGATGCAGCGATTCGAGGACTGAGACGATGCGAGGGATCGGTTTCGGCTGGTTTTTCCTTTTTCCCATTATCTTTCGGAAAATTCATTTGGAGTCTTGGGAATCGGTGAACTAGGCTTGAAGAGGACGTCATGTTCGAGATTTGCGAATCCAGGGCGTTTTCGATATTCCTGGTCCCCCCTCGGAAACGACTCGTGTGGACCTGGGATTCCGGAAATGGGACCCACTTCAGGATCAGCGGAAATTCCTCCACGAAGAGCGACTGCTTCGTAGAACTCGTCAATGTTTTCGTGGCGTCATTGACCATCATTGCCAACCTCTCGTTTATCCTGAGGTACAGGTACTGCGAAAATCGGATGTAAGTTTATATTCTTTTTCGAGAAATTCACTTCCTCTAATGTTATTTAGCCGTGATTTAACTTAATAACGGATCGATCGCGTATTATCGCATCATCGATGCGGTTCAGGGAATGCAAATGTACCGGGACAGTCATCCCTGAAGAGTTTCCTGTTTAAAACGTATCGCCGCATATGGTCGTGTTGACGGAATTAGATGTCAATAAGAAAGTCGTTAACTTCAGTACTAAGTGGAAAAAAAAAAGGTACCGAGGCCTGCATTAATCGATAAAATAATATTTACGAGTGCTTGAAGAAATCCAGAGAAATTACAAATCGTGACAACGAGGGCAGGACGTGTCAAGCAATTATTCTCGCGTGACATCGTCGGTCAATCGTCGTTATAAAATTAAAAAAAAATATATACGAGTCTATATTATTTATTGAAAAATTGTATGGAGGCACATAAAATTCAGAATAATTATTAAGCGGAATAACGAGGGCAGGACGAATCGTGCGATCATTCTCGCGTGATATCGTCAGTCAATCGTCATTATAAAATTAGAAAAAAAAGTATATGCGAGTCTATAGTATTTATTGAAAAATGTTATGAAGGCGTATTGAATTCAGAATAATTATTAAGCGCAATAACGAGGGCAGGACGTGTCGTACGATGACTGTTGATGCTTCGGCAGTCACGTAACATCACGTCATCCCCTTGGCGAAAAAATACAGCTGTACGATGACAACCACTCCACGTGGTTTTCCCTGTCGGGCCGAAATGTAATGCCAGCTGAGTTGGCACAAGTGGGGCCAAAAAGGATTCGAGGAAGCTTCGAACTCTCGAGGTGCCCCGTAGCCATTGACTCGGGCAAAAAGAAACTGCAGACGGTATGGAGAATCGTGATACGAGTGACTAACAAGGAAACATTCCCAAGTGTCCGCCGCCGATCTTATTGATTTTAATATATATATTGAAGAGCATAAAAATCTAATAGACACGTGTTTTTTTTATCTGCAATGGTCCAGATTTAAGGGGTGAAACAACCCCCGAAAGTTTGGCGAAAATTCAATTTTCATATTAATTTTCGTAGAAGCAGTTTTGAGGGATTTCGACGAAACTTGGCATAAACGTGTTCTGTATAAGGACGGTGAAAACACAATATTGTCCAGGAATGTTACACCACCTGAAGGGGGTGAAATCCCCTTTAGTTGAAATTTTTTTGTAATATCTATTAAACAAGCACTCCTACTTAAGTTCCACTTACGCCATGTGATTGCTCACGAAAAATGAGGAAATACGTGTTTTTTGCTTTTCGCCAATAAACATTTATACATCGGTCGAAAAGAATGGATGTAGGTGGTATATGGGTATGAATTGGTCACGATGCAGGTCGGAAAGATCGGACTATGGTACTTAGATTTTTATCCTGCCGCCAAAAAGGACCGAGATTATCGCCAGACATTTATCCCGATTTATCGACACCGCGACCATGTAAATCCTATTTTACAAGCAAAGCGGTTTACATTTAATCGTAATCCTCATTTTTTACTTCCGATAATCCGTGGTTTATATCCTTGGGATTATTTATGCACTCCTAGGATCAGAGGATATTATTTTATGAAGAGCGTAAGTTCGTCGTATCTCTTCCAGGCTGAGAAGTGTCCTGCTTCCGGTCCACACCTTGAGGAGCCTGCTATGCATCGCCACGATAGTCCTTCTTCTCCTGGAGCTATCGGAGTCCTTGATAACATCCATCCCACTTCCGGCTATCCTGAGTGTCCTGGCAGTGATTTCCTGTTGGACTCTTCATCGAGTCACGGAATTAAGGGACGGCCTGGGATTGGCGGTCTCTGGTGCAGGGTTCACCGTCATCGCCGTTTCCAGAATCTGGAGGCTCTCCTATCTCCACAGGTGACCCTTTAAAATGAAACCGGAAAACCCAAGCAATTGGTATATCAATTAGATCGTTAGTGCTCACCTTGATGAGCAGGAATGAATATTGTTAATTGTTTCTAGGCTAGGTGCAAGCATGCAGCACGTCCGCGTCTTCTGCAGCGCCTCCACCGCAGCCTGTTGCGGACTTTTGGCCCTGGTGGACTCCTATGGACTTTATCGAACGGTAGATCGTTCGTCATCGATATAATTGCCCCTACTTAGGTGATAAATTGCCGTAATTATGGCGCATCCTCGTCTACGAGGCGAGAGATCGCTTCGGAGGGTAATCGAGTGGCCTTGCAAATTTCGCGAGGGCCGAATCGACTCTTCAAGGTGGTCGATCCGAAGGTGGAGGTGATATATCAGTCGCTGTGATTTTTCGATGCAACGAGGAGTCAACGTGACTACCTTGATGTCGATGTTTGCGCCAAGGCTTTGTGATTGGTCGGCTTATTTGAATAATGTCAGTCATTACCACGAAGAGGCGGCGCTCTTATCGATGGGTTCCAGGTTTCTGGATGTAAATCAGATTGCCTCTTACTCGGCATAATGTCTTCTGGTACCAACAAGAGAGATGCCGAAGAGTACATGTAGATTCTCGATTTACAATGCACCTTGAAAATTCTCGAGACGATGAATCGCGTCCTCTTGACTTTTATTCATGATCGGATCACCTCGAGGCGAGGTCGTGCCAGAAAAATTCGGCGATTTTAACTCGAGTGAGGCCTGGTTTTCGCATCTCCACATATTATTGTCTAATTAAGGTTGGTACCATTGTTGCAGATGCAGAGGAACCGGCAATACTCGGTCCAGCAGATGGGAAATGTCCGTGTTTCCTACAGGCACGGGACCGCACCTTTCCTCAGCAAGCTCACCTTTCATTGGGTCGTCGGTCTCCTCAGGAGAGGGTACCGGGTTCCTCTGGATCTCCAGGACCTTGGTGAACTCCCTGAAGAGGAGTCTACCAGGGTTCAGTTCGAAAAGTTCCGGGAAATCTACGCCGAGGAGAAGGTAAATCACCAGGGGCCTACGTTTCTCCTTTCGGCCTCGACAGAGGATCCCGAAGAGCCACTCGAAGAGGTTCTACAATACAAGAATTTAATTTCAGAAGCGCTGCGGATATGGGAAGTTTTCCCTATGGCGGTGTTTCTGGAAACGCGTGTGGTTTACATTCACCCTGGGTGGGATCTTGAAACTCTTCGGCGATGCGACGACCCTAGTCGGACCGATGGCTGTCTCGAAAATAATCGATTACGTGACGACTGTTCAACATAAAATCGACGGGCACAACAATTCGAACGCCGGGGTGGGAGGAATTATTTTCATACTTTCATCGAGATATTTATATGGAAAAAAAAAAAAGAAAAAAATTCAGACTTCATTTTTTCTCCGTACACTTTGTTTAGGAATTCGTTACCTTCGCTCAGTTGCTGAAGAATGGATATTTCCTGGGCTTCCTGGTATTCTTGGCGGCCATTTTGCAGAGTACCCTAAGTCAAGCTTCCACTCATGTGCTCAATGTCGAGGGCATCCATCTCAGGACCGCTCTTCAAGTACTTATTCATGTTTCCTCCAATGAAGATGATTAAATTCATGATCGAAAATCGTGATAAACAATTGTATTAAAGGCTCTGGTCTACGACAAAGCTCTCAGGCTCTGCTCTTGGAGCATCTCCGAGGAAGAGAAGCCACCTGACAAAGTCAAGGAAAAGGACTCTCCCCGTTATCAGGACACCGATATCGGAACTTTGACGAACTTGATGACCGAAGACGCTTACAACGTCATGAGCTTCTTCTGGATCGCTCATTACATCTGGGCGATACCTCTGAAGGTATATCTGCCTCGTTCATTTTTCTCTTCGATATAAGTAGACCTGTAGGGTAAGTCCGGGATAGTTGGACCATGTTTTTTTAAAGTCATTTTTTCTGAAACTTCGCAATGTCTAGGATTTGGTATATTTTTTTATAATATGTATATATGACCTTGAACAATTGTAAGCACTTCTCCAGCTGTTACACTAATCACACTTGAAGTTATGATTTTTTCTTTTTTTTACTCGGTAGTCCATCTATCCCGGGGGTACTCGGGTTAGATGGACCACCTCCTAGGGATTGATGGACCTCTGGTATACGTTACTAAATCAGGGTGTAACACAAGAAATACATGTTATCAAAGGTATAAACATTGTTTATTTCAAAGTATAAAGTTATAAACTGCTTGAAAAGTGATTAGTATAGAGTTATAAACTATTTGAAAAAGGATAAGTAAATTTGATAGTCAATATACTTAGAAAATATAGGTAGTCTGATTTATATTCACATCCATCCATCCATTCATCCATATATCCATTTATATAGAAAGTAAAGCCCTAATAGGAGATATGGTCCGCCTATCCCAGGTTTTTTCAAGTAGTCCATCTATCCCAATTGTCGGGGATAGATGGACCAGTTTCCCGTCCAGACAAACAACGCTACCGGCATGCCATTTTAGGTCAAGATTGTACTCAAGTATACACTTGAGTTATAGGATTGATCTTACGTCGAAATCATTTAAACTAACTTAACCACATATCAAATAAATCCAGTATAAAATATTTGTCAACTCACCAAAAGAAATAAACAAAGTTTTCTTCTAAAATACGCATGAAACTCATGAGCAAAACCAAGCGTGGTTCCGTCTACTCAAGAAGAACAACTTCAGACAACGACTGCAGCGCTGCTGTGACACATCAGCCAAATATTCGACTAGTCTGTCTATACCGGTGGTCCATATATCCCGGACTTACCCTATATGGGATAAAAATTATTAATTCGCAGATCGCGGCGATAATCGGCCTGCTGAGCTTGGAAATGGGCGTCAGTGCAGTCGTCGGTGCAGTTTGCTGTCTCGTTATGGTAATTCCTTTACAATGGTATCTTGGGAGGCGAATGATGTCGAATTCCAAAGCCACCGCTGTGAGTTTCAATCAGTCTTCCATGAAGAATCTAAATATGGTTGATAATATACTTTTTTTTCTTTCCCATATTTTTGTTATTTAATAATCCCGTCTATCCAGGAACGCAGCGACGCTCGACTTCGCCTCGTCAACGAAGTTTTACAGGGAATTCGCCTGGTGAAACTTCGAGCCTGGGAAAGTCTCTTCGAGAATCGCGTTAAGAGGACCAGGGACGAGGAACTTCGACTTTTGGACAAGGATTCCATTTATGGGGTCTTGATGGGTGCGTCAGATAAATTGTGGAATCTCTTAGAAGACATTTTTCCGGCGATAAGCGCATCGGATATTTAATCCGTGGAATTTTCTTTCGTATTCCAGCTTTCCTGACGTACGCCTCTTCGGTACTTACTGCTCTTTTTACCTTTGGCTTGTATTTCTGGGTCGAAAAACGGCAACTCGAGGCAGGAAGCGTTTTTACGAGCCTCGCCCTTTTCTCTCAACTTATGGTCCCGCTTTACGTGATTCCGTTTGTTCTTCCCATAATCTTCGAAGTCAGGGTAAGAAGAAAACTAAATCGACCCGAAATACGTGAAAAAAACACTGATAGTCAGGAATTAAAACGTGGATTTACTAAGGGAAAAAGAAAGAGGAAGAATATTATTATTTCAATTACTTTACAGGTGTCAACGAAGAGGCTGAAAGATTTTCTCCTTCTTCCGGAAATCGTTGACATCTTACCGGAGGGCAAGAATAATTCCGAAGAGAGTCCGTCGAAAACAGAGTCTACTGATAAGAACGATGTGAGTCCCTGTTTTTATTTTTTATTTTAATTAATAGTCATTGATTAATAATAGAAGTAATAAATAATTCGTTCACCAAGGCAGAGGTAGGCAAGGTGCAAAGTAGCTCGACGTTCGGCGCTCTTGACGACATTGACGAAGAAAAGGATTTCCACTTCCACCTTTTGTCGGGGAACGATTCCTCGACTGATACGGAATTCGAAAGAGGCTCCTACGACACCGTTTTCGAAAAAGAATCCGATAACAGGGAGTCTATTCTAGAAATGAATGGCGTCTTCTCCTGCAGCTCCGAAGAGCATCAGCTGATCGTAGATGAACTAGCCATTCCGCGTGGTAATTCAATTTCAAGAAAATCCTAATAATTAAATGCCTTAAAAATCGTAACGAAATTTCTTTAATTACAGGAAAACTCACGTTGATAGTGGGAAGAACCGGAAGTGGGAAAACGTCACTGCTGTTGGCGATGCTCGGGGAAATTTACAGAGTCCGTGGAAAGGTCGATTGGGCTGGGTAAATAATAATGAAAAAATAAAAGAAAAAAAGAATCAGTGGAATATTTTGTCTACCTCTAATTGAAAATGTGGATTTGAAGAGTCTTTTATGTTGTTATTTTAGGAATACAAAGGTGGCGTACGTCTCCCAGAAACCATGGCTGCTTAACGCCACCTTAAGAGATAACATCCTCTTCGGATCCGAACTTCGGCCTCGAAGATACAGGAACGTCCTACAAGCGTGTGCCCTTCAACCCGACGTTGACATTCTTCCTGGCAGAGACCTCACAAGAATCGGCGAGAAAGGAATCAATCTGAGCGGAGGTCAAAAGCAAAGAGTCACGATAGCCAGGGCCATTTACAGCGACGCCGATGTCGTCATCTTGGTACCTAAACCAATATTTCATTTTCCAGGGATTACATATCCTGTTCCATAAATCCGTGTCATTGAAAATACCCCGATAAACAATTCCAGGACGATCCCCTATCGGCCTTGGATCAGCAAGTTGGTCGGCAAATCTTTGACCAGGCCATCCAGAGGTTACTCCTCGAAAGGGGTCGAACCGTCGTCATGGTCACTCACAAAATGGAGCTGGCGAACGTTGCCGATCAGGTCTCTTTCCATAATCAATCACCTTACTTAATCCACTTAGTTGTTAATTTTTAAATCATTTTATAAACCCATTTTTTTTTCTGGAATTTTTATGGACTTTTTACGTGGTAGGTCGTGGCCATGGAGGGGTGCAGGGTGCGAGCGGTCGGCAGCAGGACCAGCATCGAAGAAGAGGACTCGAAATTGGCAGAAGAGTGGCAGGAGGCTGTCAAAAGGCAGGACGATCGACATCAGCCTCCAAGGACTGCCAAGGACCGCTGGTCCTTGATTAGGCTGGTCTCCAGGATCGGCATCGCCGTCAGACAAAGACACGCCAGCGATGGATCGTGGATCACGGATCAGGATGCTCACGTGGTACGCAGGGATCTGGGAATCGTTAAAGTAATGCGAATTATTTTTATGAGGAGGATCCAGACATTTAGAACATGGCGGAACGTCCAGTGCACTGTACAGGTGTCCTCTTTGGGGCGTTTCAGACGCCGCCGTCGTTTGTCCCTCTCAGGACGAGGAGGTCCACTCTTCTGGGCTCCAGGTACCTTGCACACGACCTGACCGACCTTCCTGTTCCTGCGGAAGACTGGGGTGAGGTCAGGAAACGGTCCAGGAAGCATAGAAATGCCACAAGAGCTACCAGTCTGCAACCTCCGAAACGCCCTCCTCCGGTTCTTCGGCAGAGCAGCACTCCGACCATCCTTGACGGCCATTATGTACCTCCGCGGTATTTATCCTAATATATTCACTATTTAATCATAAGTAAGTAATCGAACTATGTTATTAATTCATGAGACGTGAAATATGTCACCAGGAAGAGGCACAACACGATCGACGGTGGGCAGCAGAACAGCATGCTGAAGCAATTGTTTTCCGGCAGGTCTGTGGATTAATTCCATTGACATTAATAATCAATTCTTTTTGCTTTTAATAATCACACGACGGGACGATCTTTGCAGACTCGTCAGTCACAATTCCGAGGAAGCCACATTGACCAGAGAGAGGAGCGTTCTCCAGAGACTCATTTTCACCTCCTCGATTATGTGCGTTGAATTTCAGACATAAGAATGACAATATTTTTGACAAAAATTTTGAAAATCTTCAAATATACTCTGAGTACTTTTTAGGACACCCCAGAACCAGGAGTGGGATCCCTATCCAGCGAAGCGATTATTTTCCTCCGATTCTGAGATCGCGGATGAAGCGGACGATGATGAGGAAAGTGAGTTGTGGTCAACTGTTGATCTTCTTTTTTTTTTCTAGAGAATCGTTTATCTTGAATTTGCAAGTTTCAGAGAATAATCAGCTTCAGGGACGACGTTGCTCGTTCCATGAGGACAACTCTGATGGGGTGGTCACCAGAAAAATCTGGATATATTTTATAAAAGCAGGAGGAGTGGGACCAGGTCTGACTTATGTAGTGGCGGCTCTGATTAGTCAATTTCTCAGAATTTACTCCGACTTGTGGCTCAGTACGTGGACCGAATATGGAATTACTCCTGAACTATCGGCCGAGAGATACGGAGATGTAGGACCTCGTTTTATTTCCCATAAATTTGTTTACGACGTAATTTAATGCCAATTACTAATTCTATCTATTTTTCAGACAATGTTTTATTTATGGGGATTTATAGGGATTTCAATTGGTTACATGGTTCTCTCGGTGCTTCACATAGCTTCCGTCCAATGGGCTGGGGCAAGGGCTCGTCGACATCTTCATCAGGAAGCTTTTGCCGAAATTCTGAAAGCTCCTTTAACATTTTTCGAGCGCACCCCGATCGGCAGAATACTCAACAGGTTCAGCGCCGATATGGCGATCGTCGATAAGGTAAATTCCAAATTACGGGTAAGAAATCAGCAATGGACAATTAGCGGTGACTATAAATCCAAACGACCTTTCCAGAAAATCTCGACGTCCATTTTGAGGCTGACCTCCTTTATCTTGCTCTGCGGATCGGCGATCTTGGTCAATATCGTCATCTCCTGTTGGTTCCTACTAGCTGCTGTGCCAACGTGCTACGTTTACTATTTCTTGCAGAAGTTATACAGGAAAAGCGCGAGGGAGCTTCAGAGATTGGACGGGAGGTGAGTCAGAAGATTCATAAATAATTTATATAAATAGTTTAACATACCGAATTTCTTTTTTTCAGCACGAGGGGCCCGGTTGGAGCACATTTTTCAGAGACTCTAGCCGGACTGACGACTATTCGAGCCACCAAGCAACAAAACCGGTTCATGAACGAAATGGTAGAAAAACTGAACTCGAATTCGAACACCTTCCTGCTGCTGAACACCAGCAGTCGATGGCTCGGAATCGCTCTGGTTAGTGTCGGGATTTAATTTAAAGAAACTTGGAATCTAGAATTAAATGTAATAAGGATTTAATTTAATGGTGCTTGGAATTTATAGATAAATGTGCCCATAATTATGAAAGTGGTCTAAGTCATATATTTTTTGTTTCGAAATTACATTGAATTAATTTCGTTTGAAATAATATGGCGTGAAATAACTGATAAACTCATTTTTTTTTTAATTTTGACTTACACCACTTTCATAATTATGGGCACAAATAAGGTTGCTTAAATTCCGATTCCAGGATTATCTTGGCGCAACGATCGTGGCCGTTGCTGTAGTCGTTGCTTTGATATCGGCGAAATTAAATCCCGATCGCGTGTCACCGGCTCTCGTTGGATTGGCCATTAATTACACACTTTTGGTCCCGATTTATCTGAACTGGGTGGTCAAATACGTCGTCGACGTCGAAATGTACATGGGAAGCGTTTCTCGACTCTCGACTTACAAGGAAACCCCGAAGGAACGATTGTCTTCGGATTTCCAAGTTCCCCCCGAATGGCCAAAAAATGGCGACGTCAGTTTTGAGAACGTCTCCCTTAGGTACGATCCTCGGAGCGAACCGGTCATCCACAATCTTAATTTACAAATCCATAAAGGGGAGAAGGTGAGTCCAAAATTGAAAACCTAATAAAATCTGGCTGGGACGTAAAATCGAATCTTAATGAATAAATTTACAGCTAGGTATTTGCGGACGAACCGGCAGCGGGAAGTCCTCCATCGCCATGGCGTTGTTCCGATTGGTCAACATTTTTCAAGGTCGCATTCTGATAGACGGGATCGACATCAAGCGAGTTCCTCTGAGGACCCTTCGATCCAGGCTCTCGATCATTCCTCAGGATGTCACCATGTTCAGCGGCACCGTCAGGTTCGATCCTCTCCGTATCCTAGAAATAATTTCAATGTTCTGAATTTAATCCAAGTCAATTATTTTCAGGGAGAATCTGGACCCTCTTTCCGAGCACTCCGACAACGAGATCTGGACCGCTCTGGAGCTGGCGCAGATGAAGAACGTCATATCCTCGTACCCTGAAGGACTAGGTGCGCCATTTAAAACAATCCAGCCAGAGATTACCAAGAAATAAATCCGGATTCATGTTTAATCAGGTTTTGAGGTTCGCGAGGGTGGCGAGAATTTCTCTTCGGGTCAGCTTCAGCTTCTCACCATGGCCAGAGCCGCTCTTCGGCATTCCACCATAATCATCCTCGACGAGGCTACCAGCGCCCTGGATGCTGCGACAGAGAAATCCTTGTTAGAAGCAGCCTCTTCGGCATTCAAAGGCAGAACCGTGATCTCCATTGCGGTGAGCATTGATCCGCAAGGATAATCGAATGAACACCTTGAAGAAGATTGCGAAAAAAAAACATTTCAAGAGGTACTTCTTCATGGTATCTTCCCGCTCATCTTTTTATACCTCGTTTCAGCATCGCGTGACGTCCTTGCTGGACTGTGACAGAGTCCTGGTCCTTGAAGAAGGTCGGGTAGTCGAGGACGGTTCTCCTTCGGAGCTCGTAAGACGTCCTATGGGATTTTTCTCCGCCATGCTGAGAGGTGTAGAAGACTGCAACGAGTTGTAACAATATGTGCCAATTTGGTGCTAGAAACACATAAGGGATCAAGTACTTTTCTCCGGCATTCTGAGAGGTGTCAAAGACTGCAACGAGTTTGTAACAATAAGAAGTGGCAATTAGGTGCCAGAAACAAATAAGGGATCAAATCTGGAGCGAAGTGTACATACGACTTCATCCTCCCTGCTAGCTGCAGGGGCACTAATCTCGATACGACTCAACGTAAAACTAACAGAGGACTTATCGCTTCCCCCTCAATGTACACGTACATTTTGTAAATAACGCGTCGCTTTACGACACTGTAAATATTCCAATAAACCGTGGCACTCACCGAAAGCGCTCCTCCAATCACGCGACTCGTGCTGTATCAGGTGCTCCAAATAAAAAGTGGACTGAACATGTTGGATCTATTATTAGGCGCTTTATCAGTCGGGTCTGGGTCCTTTGCCAGATAGACTCGACGGTTTTCAAAGTAATTGGAAACAATTGTTGCACTTCATTCGGCACGCACGTCGAGGAGGAAACATTCGTACGTGGAGCTGACCCTCTCTTTGGACCTGAAAATCGAGATATTGAATTTTTATATCCTGGTTTGAAGAAAATTGTTAAAATCCAGGATACGGCGCATACACCGACCACTCGGTATATGTCCGGATAAGGCGTCAAACGATAATAATTACCAATACCTACAAAAACGGCCGTTTCGAAACGCGACTCGCGACTCGAGTTAGTATCACGGAAACCGGCCTGTCGATAACTAGGATTCTCTTCGCTCCTATCGATCGGACAACGTCCATGAAATTTGTCGGTATGCGATACCTCGAGTGACTAGAGTGACGGAAAGTGGAAAAGAACGTTCCCTCCATTAGGAGAAAAAAAACAAACAAAAAAAACAGGTTAAGAAAATTTAATTACAATTAGATTAAAATAATTCCGCGAATCAGTGATTCGGTCCTAGAAGTCGGTTTATTCCAACTAAGCGGAAAATTCAATCCATGGGAACTCGGTAAATAATTTACAAAATGTTAATCATTATGTCTTATTATCCCAATCGTGGTTATCATCTACGGTGGGTCCAGGAAATCCTGGCGCACGGCTTGAAATTAATTCCCCGGTGATTTAGAACTTTTTTCATCGATCTCCTTCTTCCAACATGAGGATTTTCTTTTTCCGTTGGAGCAAAAAATACGGAGGTCGAAATTCCTCGAGTTTCCGAGCAATTAGCAATTTAGTTGTGAAATTGCGCCGGCCGTGCGCGTTGCATAACGCGGGACGCGAGTCCGCGAGATAGCCGGGCTATTATCTGGATATTATCTCGACGATTGTTCCCCCCATGTGCACCATGGAGTGCAGTGCAGTCTTGTATGCATTTATCTGCAGCTTGTACTTCTGGGTCTCCTTCCTCCGTTGCAAAGGGAGCACGTGCGAGCGAATAATTGCGTTACATTCCGTCTCACGTTAGATAAACATTACGTCGCTTTACGTAGAAGGTGCTACACTCCTCCTAGTCTCTAATGTCGAATAATACAATAAAAAAGAACTGCGCCGCGCGTTACATTTAAATGAAAAAAAAAAAAAGAAGAATTAAACACTGCTCCTGCGTTCCCGGGAATTCTTTTTTAATATCAGGTAAACATTACGTCGTCTTCGTCAAAGGTGTTTTACCCTCCTCCTAGTCTCTGATGTCGAATAATTCAGTAAAAAAAATTGTGCCGCGCGTTACATTCTTTTGAAAAAATTAAATACACCTCCGATGGTGACTGGGAATTTTATTTTAATATCACGTGATAGGCTCGATGTGATAAGGATAAGTGCACGCTGCGCGAGGAATGCGACAATTTCTCCAACTCCCTTTCGGATTTATCTTCGATGTAATCGTAAGTACGCGGCAATTTGATAACATAGAATTTTCGAATTTTAGGGGGGGGAATTTTCCTTTTTCAATATTTTCCGCTTAAGGGCGTTGGCAAGTTATTTTCACAGCGTCGAGACGCCGACTGCGACTGAACTGGGCAATTATTGACATGCCGGGAACAATTTTCAGCGAGAGTCTCGAATGCATGAATTTTATCGTCTGCATATCCCGCAAATATTATTCGAAACTCGCAAGTCGCGAGACACTCCGAAAGCGCCGATCTTGAGTATTTTCTTTTTTCGAGAATCCTGAATTTTGGATTTTTTTTTCTTTTTTTAGAGCGAAATAAAACATCCCTGAGAAGTAGAAGTAAGGAAGAGTACCATTTATACCAAAATCAATCGCCAGGGATTATTTAATGCAAATTGGTCACTTGGGAATCATTGTTAAAAATGATATTCATACTTTGGGATGTTGAATTTTGCCGAATTCTTTCGGGACTGCAATAATATATTTTCTGAAACGAACGAGTTAAGCCTGCCATGAGTGAATCGAAGAAATTCGACGTTATCGGGCCTTTCCGTTGGAACAAGTGTCGCCTACATATACATTATAAACATTGCGTAAATCGGACGCCACGAGGGCGTCATAAGTAATCTAATTTCCGACGACACCCACATTTCGAGTTTGACGGCCGATCGGACGACGTTAGAAGTCGGGAAGAAATTTCATACTGAGTCGCTGATAAAAATCCCCGTACCTGTTGACATTACCCCGCCATGTTGGTTATCGAGCTCTGATAAGATTCCAGCGTCTTTGTCGAGACAAGAGGTACGTCAGTCGCATGGTCGACCCGTTTAGTGCAACTTCTCATTTCGTTCACCTTTTATTGGCATCACGCTGTCGGGTCTGAGGGGTGAGTTTTGACATCTAGGCATACCCCAAAACCCTATAAATATAGAAGAAAAAAAATGTACAATTTATTTCATACAATTCCAGGAAGAAAAATTAATTCCAGGTTTCTGACCGCATAGAACCATTCATCAAGGTAGATCGAAATTTGATAGGATATCATCTGCCAGGAACTTTGCGTCGAGATCCAATCCATCGATTAAATTCCCTCGAATATCCGGGAATACCGTGGAATTGCTATCGTCATTTCCCGAATTGACGTGAAATTGTTGAATGATAGTGCTCGATTCGCGCGTGATAGTTGCGATACCGGTCGCGATAATCTGAAGATAAATCCAGGAAATATGCAGTGGGGTGGTCTTTTATTCCGGTTTTTCTGCGAGTTCGGTTATTAAATGCGTTTAAAGGATTAGGTAATTTGGTAATTCTTTTTTCTTCTTATGATAACAGATGCTTATGGTCGGAGTCGACGCTCCGATTTCCGCCGAGGGATTTCAGGGGCTCGAGACGGAATTCCGTCAATTATTCTGCAATCTCAATTACCCCGCTTAACGACTCGTCATATCTTCTCGGAATCGAGGCTTAACGCGCGAAGCCTTAATAAAAACCTTAATTCCTGTCGTCAAGTCGGTGCACCGGCAATAAGTGTAACGAGGAAAAACAATAGGATTGTCTCTGAGCACTCAGACGGATCATGCTCGGAGCTGAAGTTTCGTAACGAGTTTTAGCGCCTTTTTGTACCCGCGGATATTTTCCGAATAATTAACCATTGTTCCCTTGGCCGCCGTATTTTTCCCCTATTGATCGGCTTTCCGAAAAATTATGTAATCCCCAGTCGGGGCGCAATTCACGGACTCGTTTTTGGATCGTCTCGCCACGGGACAAGTACAACATTCTTGTCGACTGATTAAACAATTGGGATCGTCGTTCGATCTTAATTATATTCGAGCCCGTTGGGATTTTTATGGTCCCCCAAAACGATGCGCACTAGACTCCCATGTGTCTATAAAAAGCGGAGAAAAAATGATAAATAAATTCATAGCGGATATTTATATTTCGAATAATTCCCATGAATTTCGACGCGTCGTAATTGTTTCATCCACATTTAATTCCTCGGCTGGACTGTCGACCTTTCGACAAATATTTCACGAGACGAGTCATCGTCAATGTCTATTAGGATTGCACTCACGTGAATGTATGTTAACACTTCGTGACGCCAGTTCGCGGTTCATTGTGTACTGAACTGTATTAGCATAATCACATGACCGGCGAAGAAGTCGATCCACGTGGTTCTCCAAACGCGCCATTTAAAGTCTTCCTCGAAGTTTCTGTTAATTTTCATTCTTAAGGACGTTTAATTTTCCCAGGCTTCGGAGACAATTACTCGGGACATGTAACCAAGGTCGAGGACACCATGAGGTTTTCCTGCTTTCCAAGGCCAAACATTTTGGGACAGAGGGGGAGCATCAATCTGACACCTCTTCCAGGGAACGAGGAATCGTCCGGGATAACTCACGAGCACATAGTGAGTACCTGATAAAAGAAATGTATAATCATTCGGTATATTTTTACCATTTTATTTCCCCAAAAGTATCGACAGTTCCCGAATCAGCTGGCCGGAAGCTCTTCGGAGAAACTCCCGGGAAATGGCAACGGGCTCAGCGAAATACCCGTCAGTATGAACAATTTTTGCAACTTTTTAAACGACGCCTAGATAAGATATGTAACAATTCTCCATAAATGATTTAGCAGAATGGCGACGTCAACGGTCCCGTTGTCATGAGCTACAGGCGATCCGACGACCCTGACCTCGGCAACAGCGTCGTGAGTATTTCTATTTTCACCAAGGACTTCGAGAAATCATCTGAGAATGATTGACAGAAATTATGAAAATATCCGGAGGTAATGTCGACTTCTTTTTTCTTTGTAGATCCGGCTGGTACCAGGATCTGCACTTCCGGGTACGTGGGGTCCTTCCGAGCACTCGAACTCGAAAGGTAGAGTGACCTTCTCTGAGAATAATGACTCTCGTCATCAAGACCGGAAGTCGGACACTTCGTCATCGGATGAGCCGCACACGAATATTCCTCGAGGTGGAGTCATCGGCAGGACTCCTACCCCTCCTTCGGCACCGACGCCGATTTACGAGAAGGACTCTCGGTAGGATCTTCTTTTAATCATTAATGACTAGTTTCTACAAATAGAGAAAATTCCAAAATCGAGAAAAGAGGAAAATTGAATTCTTATCCCCAGGGCGAGGAGTCTCATCAAGACCGCCATTTTGGAGAACGAGTTCCTCGGTAACCTCGAAGAAAGTCAAGTCGAGACACTTGTCTCCGCCATGTATCCGAAGCAGATTCCAATCAACACTCTTGTCATTCGCGAGGGAGATATTGGTAAATATAAATATTTTTTAAATAGCAGCCATGTCATTAAAAATAAATTAAAAATATTTCGGAGCTCACCTTCCCTGATACTCTACGAATTGATGCCTGAGAGTATCTGGATTTTCCTTCATTATAATCCGATTAAATCATTCAATCGATTTTCTCGATAACAGGGTCTCATCTATACGTATCAGCCGAGGGTGAATTCGACATATACGAAGGAAACAAATTCCAGAGAAGCTTCGGACCCGGAGTGGCTTTTGGAGAACTCGCCTTGCTGTACAACACGAAGAGATTGCGATCCATCAGCGGTATCGTAAATTATTTATTAAATTATCTTGAAACCATTAAGACTGGTATTTCTTTTTTATGTGGAAGATCATACCTCACGGTTCAATGTTAACAAGAAATTGACGAATTCCACAGTTAAAAAAGGCGGCAAAGTATGGGTCCTGGACAGGTCCGTGTTCCTGACGGTGATGATGAGGAGTGCCCAGGACAGACTAGAGGGCAACATCCGGTTCCTGCGGGGAGTTTCCGTTCTCCAGAAACTTCCCGAGCCGAGGGAGCTCCTCCTTGCCAAAATCTCGGATCTCATTCGCGTCGTAAGTCTCAATCTCAAAGAAAATCCCAATTATTGTAATTGTCGATGAAAAAGGGATTAATTTACCTGGTTCTAGGAATTTTTCCCCGCCGATGCTCGCATAGTTCGCCAGGGAGAGAGGGGCGACAAATTCTACATAATCAGCGGCGGGAACGTAAGGATAACGAAGGACACCGAATACGGGGGCGAGGAGGAACTCGTCGTCCTGGGAAGAGGACAATATTTCGGGGAAAAGGCTCTTTACGACGACGAGGGCGACAATCGACGACAGGCGAACGCAATTGCTCTAGTTCCTGGCGTGGAGTGCTTGACCCTAGACGGAGCGTGAGTAAGAAGTGCATTAAATAATTCCTAATAGATAAGAGTACCAGTAAAGTGCTTTCTAAAGACTTACGATGGGATTACCATTAATCTTCCAGGTCCTTTCTGAATTACCTGGGGGGACTCGAGGAAATCCGCAACAAAGACTGGATGGCGGAGTACGAGAAACAGAAGCGCTCGTTGACCCCGAAGAGATGGACGAACGCGTATGCAAATTTGGTATTGAGTGACCTGGAGACCATAGGAACCCTCGGCGTAGGTGGATTCGGCAGGGTCGAGCTGGTCACTCTGAAGTCGGACCCCGAGAAGAGCTTCGCCCTGAAGAAGCTGAAGAAGAAAGTGATGGTCGACCAGCAACAACAAGAGCACGTGCTCAATGAAAAGCACATCATGCAAGCTTGCGACTCGGCCTTCATTTGCAAGTCGGTTACAGAATTAATTAGTCACTATTAATAACAATGCCATTTAAATTTGATTTCTCTTTTTCCGTGATATTTCAAAGGGGATTTTCATGCTTTTGGGGTACCTCAGGTTGTATCACACGTATAAAGACTGCAAGTACGTGTACTTCTTGATGGAGGTGTGTCTGGGTGGAGATGTATGGACCACTTTACAGAGGCGAAGACATTTTGACGACCCCACTGCCCAATTCATGGTGGGATGTGTAGTCGAAGCTCTTGACCATCTTCACTCCCTTAACATTGTCTATCGCGACCTTAAACCTGAAAATCTCATGCTGGACACTCGCGGCTATCTGAAACTGGTCAGTAAAATTGTCCTTTGATATTGGACATTTTTTCTCAAAATGAAAAAGATTGCTTTCAACAAATATTTTTACCTCCAAGGTGGACTTCGGCTTCAGCAAAAAAATCGGACCCGCCAAGACGTGGACTTTCGCGGGCACGCCGGAATATGTGGCTCCGGAGATTATCCTTAACAAAGGACACGACAGGTAATTCATTTTGGAGGAAGTAGATTACCTGGAGAAATTATTTTACAGTTTTATTTATTTTATTTTATTTTATTTATTTATTTTTTTATTTAATTTAGGGCAGTGGATTACTGGGCACTCGGAATTCTAACCCACGAATTGTTGGTCGGCAAGCCTCCTTTTCGTGGCAACGATCACATGACGACATACAACAAAATCCTGAAGGGTGTCGAGATGGTCGGCATCCCTAGTATTGTTAATAAAAATGCCAGCAATCTCATCAAGAAGCTCCTACGATTGTGTCCGTCCGAACGTCTTGGCTATCAGAGAAATGGGATCCAAGATATTCGGGATCACAAGTAAATACTCCAATGAAGAATCTTAAATTAACAATGAGGAATATTATTAATTCGTTTATTTATTTATTGCAGATGGTTCTCAACTTTCAACTGGGAAGCCCTGCGCAGATTGGCCTTGCCGGCTCCGATCGTACCGACTGTAATTTTTATTTTACACGATATGCAATTTACAATTTTTCCGAATTTTTAGCGTCCTTTCAACTGTTTAATTTACAGGTGAGGTGTCATACCGACACGAGAAATTTCGAAAGGTATCCACCGGACAGAGAAGTTCCTCCTGACGAGTATTCCGGATGGGACATGGACTTCTGATAACATGGAATCATCGAGTGATCAATTATTATCAGCGACGTGTTCGGAATCCCCGAAAAATCAAATTCTATCAGGCGATGATATTACCGCGAAGTGTGGAGGAGATTTTAAATTATTCAGCTTATTATACGCACTAATGTATAATTTCGCCTCTGTACAAACAGGCTAGATGATAAGACGTCGATTATCGGCGAGGCGATTTTTTTATTAAACATTTTGAAAATATATATGGCACGATCGTTTACCAAGGATCTGGTTAAGAACGAGAAGTCATGTTTTTAATACTTCGTGGAGCTGTATTTAATTTATAAACATGTCTTGAAAATGTATAAAGAGCGCTAGATATTTTTACATTATCAAAGTAATGTTTGTAACAAAAACCTCCGATATCAAAACACTTGTTTTTATAACTCGGAGGAATAATAAAGACGAGCTAAAAACGTCCATATCAAGATACTCGTAGCGTTGAGTAGTGTGAGAAACGCACCCTGCGCGTTTTCAAGCGAGACGCTACAAAGTTCTATATTAAGAATCTCGTAGCGTTGTGTGGTGCGAGAAACGCGCCCTGCGCATTGAATTTGTGCGAGACGCTACAGAGTTCTATACAGTAAGGATCGAGATTTCAGGAGTGGGGGAAATAGAAATATAATTTCTTCATTGCTACGGATAAACTTTATCCGTCTGCTCCTTGGGCGATTCAAATTCCGCGCTGCTCCCGCCACTAGTACGCGGCGCGGCCGTAGAAGGCAGTAGGTCCGTGGGGTGACCATCGAAGAATGGCAGTGGATATAGACAGAGATATACGGCGAAGATTTTATATGTCCATAATAAAAAACTCTCGGTAATTACATTGTTACGTACGTATTACCGAATTACTAAAAACAATCAACAATTGTAGCATTGAATCTCTGGTGGAAATTGACAGTTGGCATTGTGTCCAGAATGATTATTGTAAGTCTTGGAAACGTGACATTGAGAATGATCTGAAATTGACTACATTCATTGTTGCTAGTCATTAAATACATTTCCCTGTAGATAGTACATTAATAATATGCGATGTTAACGTAAAGAATTAAATTGTTGTAAGTGAAGTCGAATTAGTAACGTAATGCAGAACAAACATAACCTCACTGGTACCATTCGTATCCATCGAAATTCAATGAATAGTTGTTGTTAACATTATATCGAATTTAATAAGTGATTACCTGCTTTTAAAGAAATATAATAATGTTATCTGGCGTACATGGCAGTATTTTTTAAGTGCATGTTATCCGACTAAGAAGGATACGTAAACACCCGCCGCCTTCTTTTGTGATAACTAGGTAACAAAATGATAGTTTTAGAGAAATAATATGAAGTTCCATTGTTGAAATGTTCTTGAAAAATATTTACATAATCACATGACAGATTTGAGTGTCATTCCACTGTTTCAGGTAACAATGGGTTCATTGGAATTAAATCAACGCCTAGTTGGTCACAAAGGCAGGGTGTGGTGTGTTTGTTGGAATCCTCGTGGCACTTGTGTAGCCTCTTGTGGGGAAGATAAAACAATTAGAATTTGGGCACCGGAAGGGCCAAAGTGGGCAATGAAAACGATACTTACCGAAGGACACACAAGAACAATAAGGGAAATTGCATGGTCCCCTTGCGCGAATTATATAGCCTCAGCAAGTTTTGATGCGACAACAGCTATATGGGAGAAAGAAGGGGCACAGTTTGAATGCAACGCGACTTTAGAAGGACACGAGAATGAAGTCAAAAGTGTTAGTTGGGCTAAAAGCGGTCAGCTATTGGCAACGTGTAGCCGAGATAAGTCGGTTTGGGTATGGGAGGTTTCAGATGGTGAATATGAGTGTGCTGCCGTAATAAACGCACATACACAAGATGTAAAAAAAGTAAGTAGGTGTGAGATTTGTATAATTTACATTTAACAAAACTTTCAATGGTTTTATTTATTAATTCTTTACTTTTGATGATATTGTTGTAACTAAACGTGTTATATTTGTCAATTAAAGGTAAGATGGCATCCTCAAGGTGAAATATTAGCCTCTGCTAGTTACGATAATACGGTAAAGATATTTAAAGAGGATGCTGCGGATAGTGATTGGTCCTGCATAGCTACTTTGGATTCGCATACGTCAACTGTATGGAGCTTGTCATTCAATGCTACTGGAGATAGACTAGCTACCTGCAGTGACGATCAAACCGTTAAAATATGGCAAGAATATAAACCTGGAAATCAAGCTGGAATTGCAACTCCAAATAATGAATCAGTTTGGAAATGTGTTTGCACGCTGTCAGGCTACCACACGAGAACTATTTACGATATTGATTGGTGCAAGTTAACCGGTTTGATAGTGACTGCTTGTGGCGACGATATTATTAGAATATTCAAGGAAGAAGAAAATTCTGATCCAAATCAGCCTGCATTCAACATGGTCTGCGCAATGGATAATGCACATTCTCAAGACGTGAATTCCGTACAATGGAATCCAATAGTACCCGGGCAACTTGCATCAGGCAGTGATGATGGACTTGTGAAAATCTGGACTTATAAAGAATAAATTGTTATTCATACCATTTCATATGTTGTTGAAATATACATCTTTTTAGTTCGTACAGTTTATGATTATTGTTATATTTTTCAAGCAGTGGATATGTGTATTACAATCGTATAAATTCAATTCATTGTAAACATATATATTTTTTAATCAAAACTCCTGTTAATGTATAATCTTATTTCACTTATTGTTTCAGGGAGTCTAGATGTTGAGGTATCTACCAAAATTATTGGGAATAAAGGAACAAACATTATTTTTTAATACAGTTACGAGAACCAAATATAGCATATGTGCAATGGGAGAAGCTAAATTAGATTCCAAGGGAATACCTCTTTCCAGTATCATCGGGGCGATACAGTCTTTCGCAGATACATCCCTTGCAGCTTCCTGGGACAATGTTGGACTTCTTATCGAACCTACAGAACCAATACCTATAAAGCATATCCTGCTCACTAACGATCTCACTGAGAATGTAATACAAGAAGCTGTCGATTTACAAGTCGGGTTAGTCATTTCATATCATCCGCCGATATTTGCTCCTCTGAAGTCGGTTACTACAAGGACATGGAAGGTACATGAACAAAGCCATTAAGTAGAATTACACATAAAATATTAATATTTTTCACATCGATGTGAACACAAGTCAACGTATGAAAACTCTTGGCAGGAACGAATCGTAGCTCGATGTCTGGAAAACAAAATTAGCTTGTATTCTCCACATACAAGTTTCGACTCTATAAGAGGTGGCGTAAACGACTGGCTGGCTTCTGCATTTGGTACTTATTAATTTTAATAAATATTTATTGAGAGGAAACGTTACGCTCCGATTTTTGCGTAATAGCTTCGACATAGATTTATTAACTCCATTATTTCGTTGTCGCAGATTTAGAAAATAGCAATCCAATCGAACCAGGAACTAAGCCTGAAAATGGTATGGGGAGAATATGCCAATTGAAAAATCCAATCTCCGTAATGCAAGCCGTAGAACTGGTAAAACGTCATACCGGTCTTTCTCACGTGAGACTTGCTCGAGCTGTGCACCAAAATGGTAAGCGATTATAAATTGAAAACTAAGTTATTTAAAGTGTACTTTTCTTTTATTTGTCTAAAATTGAGCCGCCACATTCATTTTTTTAGGTGACCTAGTGAAGACAGTCGCTCTATGCGCTGGATCTGGATCATCGGTTTTGAAGAACGTATCAGCTGATCTTTACCTCACAGGAGAAATGCTTCACCATGATGTTCTCGATGCCGTGCACAATAACGTTAATGTCATCCTGACCAATCATTCGGACTCCGAGCGAGGATTTCTCAAACATTTCGCCGATAAGCTGCTTGATATTTTGGAAACGCCGATAAAAATCAGTGTCTCTAAGGCAGACGAAGATCCTCTAAAAACCGTGTAAGCGGCTGGAAAGAAATTTGAAGCCTTTATTACAATTGGAGTAAAAATGGTATTTTTATCTTTACTGTCCTCTAAAATTTCCTTCTAACCAGGCTAACAACGCCGGCAAATATTCATACTTTTTCTTTTTTTCACTTTTCAGTTTCCACGGATTTGCACTCATTTTCTTACGCGTAACAATGATGCTCTTTATTCCGTTGTTACATTTAAAAAACTGTTGTTCGCGATGAAGCAGAAAAATTGAAAGTTGGAAAGTGAAAAAAATCAGTTAGCAGGGAGATGTAAGGAAACGATTACAGCGAGCACGTGTAGCGGTTTTGCTTTTATCATTCTTCTTGGGTCGTAGCGTTTCAATTAGTTCAACTATCGTTAACAGCATACTTTCTCGCTACGTACGTCCACTTCCGAGGCTTCATCCTCGAAGAACTCAAGCGATTTCTCGTTTTGTTACCTCACCATCCAAGCGGATCAAATCGCGACTCTCTATCGGCTGGTGCTACACTTCTGGATGCATTTTAGAGTGAAAGCTCCCTAGCCATAATCATTGCCGACGCGTTATCGCGTTAACGCAATTTCGAATTAATTTCCGTTTCCTAATAAGTACTCGTCCTTCCACTCTCTTCCTCTATATCTTACTCGACCTCCTTGAAATGATACGAGTGAGGGAAATACGAAGAAAACGGAGAAGGCGAAGCTATTTGTTGCCGTTTGGTTTTTCTTAATTGCAATTCCTTACGCTAAATTTGCTGACGTGACTTGTGAAGAATCTAATTAAGAATATCATTTGTTAGACATCGGATAAATGTTAGGTATAATTGATCAATTTGTCGACAGGCTAGAGAGATCAGTCTTCTGGAATGATTTCCTTCCAGATTTATTTTCCTGCCGTTTTTATCGACTGGGGTCAATGTCTTCAGATTCGCCCCGTCGATTGCTAAACCGTTATAAAATTGGTTTACTTCACCGTTGAAAATCTGGGAATCTCGATTCAGCATATTTCTCTCCCTGCAAAAAGGAATTTGAATGTAAAATATATTTGCAGTTTTATAGATCCATAACGAAAACGTCAAGGTGAAACCTAAGGTCACTGATAGGTATAATCACTTGCCCAATGTACTCGCAGAGAATTATCGGAATCATAAATTACCTCAAAATGAGATTTTCTTACAAACGAGTAGTACGTTCACGTAAAAGGCATCCACTTAAAAACCTGGAATACATTATTTATATAAATAACGAGATATAACTTATCCTCGTATTGTCATGAAATTATAAATTCAACTCGCACAAATTCACTTACAGGAGCCGCTCTACTCGACTTCGAGTAAATGTTAACATCTATACATGCTTTGAATCGTGATAAAATTGGACATTGGTCGACTGGGAAACTCGATAGAGTTTCGCGCCAAATACATTTAAAAGCCCGCGCGAGCGGCACCGAATACTTAACGCCAAAATTCGGCACATCGATTCGATAAGTATACTTTTCTCAATTAAATGATCATATATCAATGTTCGGCACAATGAAAGTACCCAATTTCCTCAAGTATATTGAGCATTTTTAACAATGCGGCATATCTATCAAAATACTCAGAAGATATAAATGAAGGAATTCAAGCTGTCTTTGTACACGGAGTGAAGTTCACCGGATGAACTTCGTCGAGAAGAGGAGATCAAGGTGAAGCCCAGATTTGGTTCTAGGCATGATTGCTCGCATAATGGGTACTTTCTATTCCTGGTACTTGGTCCAGGGACAATGTCTACTCCACCGGTTACTCTTCCACAACCTTTAGTCCCGGATCGCGGTAAAACTCAAAGTGAATTGTCTTAATTATACCGTGCATTTTTAATAACGTGTCCATAACGGCTCATGACGTCCAATAAAGACTAAAAGGAAAGTTCATCACGGTGATTTAAGAGCCTCGAGAGTGAAGTTCACCCGGTGAACTTCATCCGAAACCAGGAGATCAAGGTGAAGTCCTGGTTGGGTCATCGGCACGATTACTCGCGTAATCGGTACTTTCTAGTCCTGCTACTCGGCGCGAAGACAGAGTCTACTTCACCGAATACTCTCTTGCGGTCTTTGCTCTCGTATCACGGTATAGCAGGCTCAAAGCCGGGCCGTACCGTTCCCTATACTGTTTCCCGAGCGACCAGAACCGGATCGGTACATTCGTGTACACCGAGGCACACTCGTGGTGGGTTCGTATAGGAGTCCAGCCTGATCCCTCCTGATCCCGCCTGATCCCGCTGACTCTACCTCTCCTGCTACTCCAGGGAAATAGAGAGAGTGCTGTTCTTTCTTGGAGAACAGTCAGAGATCGGCGCTCTCGCGGGTGCGAGCGAGTGTCCGAGTCGCTGCAAGCCCTCGGAATCGGTCCTTTAAGTCTATGGTTGTCGCAGACCAGATGACAAAAAGTCAGGTGAATAGGCTTTCTTCTCTTATCTCGTGATTAGTTCCCGCGAGAGGATGATCGACCGGAGCAGGGAAGACACTCCGTGGATCGTGGCAGGTAGTAGCCGAAGTTTTGGTTGAGTTTCGAGACAAACACCTTTTTTTTACTGGACTGGAGGCGATCGGGTCTCTTTACTTTCCTGAAACAAAATTTTCTTTTATGAATGCGATTAAGCAAGCCGGGAGGAGGATTTTATAGCAGTAGCGGAAGTTTTACTTCAGTTTCGAGACAAACACATTTTCCACTGGTGGAGGTAAATTCAATCAGTCGTTTAAGTCTATGGTTGTTGAAGACCAGATGACAAAAAGTTAGGTGAATAGGCTTGTCTCGTGATTAGTTCCCTCGAAAAGATGATTGATCGGTGCAGAGAGGACGCTTTGTGGATCCTGGAAGGTAGTAGCCGAAGTTTTGGTTGAGTTTCGAGACAAACACCTTTTTTTTTACTGGACTGGAGGCGATCGGGTCTCTTTACTTTCCTGAAACAAAATTTTCTTTTATGAATGCGATTAAGCAAGCCGGGAGGAGGATTTTATAGCAGTAGCGGAAGTTTTACTTCAGTTTCGAGACAAACACATTTTCCACTGGTGGAGGTAAATTCAATCAGTCGTTTAAGTCTATGGTTGTCGGAGACCACATGACAAAAAGTTAGGTGAATAGGCTTGTCTCATGATTACTTCCCTCAAAAAGATGATTGATCGGTGCAGAGAAGACGCTTTGTGGATCCTCGCAGGTAGTAGCCGAAGTTTTGGTTGAGTTTCGAGACTAACACCTTTTTTTACTGGACTGGAAGCGATCGGGTCTCTTTACTTTTCTGAAACAAAATTTTCTTTTGTTAATGTGATTAAGCAAATCGGGGGGAGGATTTTGTAATTAGAGGTGTCAAAGAACTTGACAGAGTTTCCAGACGAGAACATTTGCTACCAGGGACCGAACGAGGGTCTTTACTTCCCTGTTGACAAATTTCTGCGAAAAAAGGGGTACATTTTATGTGAACAAGTACTATGCAAACGCTGATTAATGATTTTCTTGTTATACGTGATTATTTTCACGCGATCGAGTACTGTCTTCAAATTCAAATCGGTCACCTTCGTTTGTCACTTTGATTACGGAATAACGGGAGCTGAGTTTATCTTCCGTATTTTGGGAGGCAAATCTTTAAAAAGTATTTTTACAGTACATCGTTGTCGATGCAACTTAAGGTTCAAACTTTAACTACTCAGTATACACGGAAATCTATTAGCTCTGTACAGCGTTATGTACAATTACCGTGCACTATATTATCTACCGGGGCGAGTTAAACGGTGCAGAAAGTGACAATTGCATAAGTCACCGTAGAAAACTTAGGAAAGAAAAAAAAAAAGTGAACGGCAATCCATGCTGCCGGATTTATTTTTCACCTCCAGAAAGTCATTTAGCGCTACCGGTACATTTATCATTGCAAAAAGTGCCGTTCCAAACGGGGGAATACGTGTTACGAGAAAATTACCTCTATCAACGTTTCTGCGAGTAACAGCGATTGTGTGGTTTTATCCCGTTAACGTGTCTTGGAAGAAAGTTATCTTGGTCGGATCAAGGTTTATGCGAGGCAGGGAGATTGTGCGGCTTCAAGCCAGGTGTCTGAAATGATATTTAAAAATTGAAAAATTAATTATAGACTTTTCTCCCGCGAGATTCTATCACAAGTCTGGTAGCTACCGCCTTTGTTCTTAGATCCTGAGTGAAAGCTCTTTTTGATTTAAATCTGAGTGAGTGCTATTATCTGCGCCTTTATCGCTGTAAAAAGTGGGCCTTACGGTGGGGGAACGTCTCTTGGAAGAAATCTATCTCTCGGTGAGAGAAAAATTTCTGCGAGTAAGAACGATCGTGCGGTTTTTACGAGGCTCTCTTAATGAAGTTTCACTCGAAACTCTGCGAAGGGTGGAAGGTGAGTTTCTCTCGGTTCCGGGGAACTCTACTTGAAAGCGAGGCCTTTTTTTGTCTTAAACGCAACGAAGAGTTGAAAATGATCTATCGACTTTTATAGCAAGAAATAAAAGTGATAAATAAACAGGTATTAAATTAAGGGAACGGATACTTTTGTTCCTTCACTCGAGAATATTCTGCAGTTGAAATCTCGATGTCCAGGATTTTCTTCCGGTGTCGTCGAAGATTCGAATTTCCGGCGTAGTCGAAGCTCGATCAAACCCAACTACGTGCGCCAACTGAAAATGGAAAAATTATACATTGAAATTGAACGTCCCACGCTTGAGGATGTTTGCGCGACTGAGTTTCCGCGATGTCGTCAGTCCTTCCCACATCGAAGGATATGAAGCTTTTGTAGGTTGCCCTAAGGCCAGCAATTTTACGAGTTCCTTCGGTACTTTCTACGATGTCTCACCTTGAAGACCGACAAATTTAGGCTAACTCGCAATATTCTAAAACGTTAGGTTCTCGCGTCAAAGATGATGAAGTAATCGAGTTTCATTCTAGATGTACGTAACTGCGGACTATCGTTTTCCACATAAATATTCAAATTTCGACTAATTCCCAGTATAATGAAACCGTGAGACCTCTTTGTCAGAAAAATTCTGGTTGTTCATATCAAAGATGATAAAATAGCTGAGATCTATTCTAACGTACATAACAGCGCATTATCGTTTTCCTCGTAAACATCCAAATTTCGACTTATTCCCAGTTTAATGAAACCGTGAGCCATATTTGTCGGAAAGATTCTGGTTGTTCATATCAAAGATGATAAAACAGCTGAGATCTATTCTAACGTACATAACCGCGCATTATCGTTTTCCACATAAACATCCAAATTTCGACTAATTCCCAATTTAATGAAACCGTGAGACCTCTTTGGCGGAAAGATTCTGGTTGTTCATATCAAAGATGATAAAACAGCCGAGATCTATTCTAACGTACATAACAGCGCATTATCGTTTTCCTCATAAACATCAAAATTTCGACTAATTCCCAGTTTAATGAAACCGTGAGACCTCTTTGGCGGAAAGATTCTGGTTGTTCATATCAAAGATGATAAAACAGCTGAGATCTATTCTAACGTACATAACCGCGCATTATCGATTTCCACATAAACATCAAAATGTTGACTAATTCCCAGTTTAATGAAACCGTGAAACCTCTTTGTCGAAAAGATTCTGGTTGTTCATATCAAAGATGATAAAATAGCTGAGATCTATTCTAACGTACATAACCGCGCATTATCGTTTTCCATATAAACATCCAAATTTCGACTAATTCCCAGTTTAATGAAACCGTGAAACCTCTTTGTCGGAAAGATTCTGGTTCTTCATATCAAAGATGATAAAACAGCCGAGATGTATTCTAACGTACATAACCGCGCATTATCGTTTTCTATATAAACATCCAAATTTCGACTAATTCCCAGTTTAATGCAACTGCTTGGCTTCTTTACCGGGAAATTTCTGATTGTTCATGTTAAAGATGATAAAACAGCCGAGATCTATTCTAGCGTACATAACCGCGCATTATCGTTTTCCACATAAACATCCGAATTTCGACTAATTCCCAGTTTAATGAAACCGCGTGATCTCATTGCTGATAAGATCCTGGTCCCCGTGACGTCACCGTTGACGAATCATTCCCAGAATTGAATCCTTTTTATAAATCTCCTCGTACGTGGCAGTCTGAAAAATATTCTGCATTGAGCTGGCAACCTGCGAAACGACGTAATTAATATTGAATTCAGTTGAAACTTGAACGATTAAAAGCGAACGTCCTACACTTATGGCTGCTTGCGCGATGTCGTCAGTCCTTCCTACAGCGAGGGATACGAAGCTTTTGTTGGACACCCTGGCAAGGTCAGCGGTTTAATCACTGCTGCCTCTCCAACCGCAAATCCTCCGGCGCTTTCGTCCGCCTTTTCCCATACATTCTCACTCTTCTGCAGGAGTACCCACAGGCGTTGCTCGCCTCTTTCACGTCATCTCTCCAAATAAATTACGTTTCTTGGTCTCGCAAACAAGGAGCACTTTCGAAGTTCCTCTTCGGCTAATCCCCTGTGAGCCTTTTGTTCAAGAGGTATTCTTTACGGCGATCCGATGGTGACTTTCGACTACGTGATTAGTCCATCCGAGACCATCCTGGTCTCTCCGGTATTCCCCCAAAAAAGTAATTACTCAAATTTTGGCGCCAGCATATCTGAAGTAGAGGGATTATTAATTAACAAGAAGAGATGTAATTTTTTATAACGACTTACACGTGCATCATGTGATATGTACAACGTCACCTTGTTTCCTTTTCAACTCGAAGTTACAGAGCATGAGACGGCAATCAAGAATGCGAATTGATCTCTTCCATCGGATGTATTTAAATCGGAGTTTACGCAGTCAGTAAATTATCCTTTGGATTAAAAAACCCGCGCATCAAAATCTTCAAGGCGTTCCTTACTAATTTCGGTTATTTTCTCGCAGCTAAGTTGCCGGTAAATTTGCATTGTAAATGGTGCAAAGTCCTCTAAAAGAATGTTTCAAAGTGTACAGTTTCTTCCATAAATGAGACACAGAGGGGAAACCCCCACTTAATTTAACAAGTATTCATGGAGAGGGAATCCCGATGACGAGCGCGGGTATCCTCTCCACGCGCCATTTTCGAAGTACGATATAGAAGCGTTGTAACAATGATTTACCGTTAAAGCTTCTTAAGACCGGCTTAAAACGAATACCAATTTCGTCCTAAAGGTTGCTCTCGGCAACTCGGCTCCGTAGGCGTGCGTTTCCACACTTTCCATTTCACGGCTCGCCCATCTCCGAAAGCGGCCACCTCGGGCACGCTCGTCGCCATGTTCGATGCGCAAGGCGCGCGCGCAGCTTCTTGCCGGGCGTACGTGCGCGCATGCGCGTCGCGCCTTTCGAGTGCCGGACCAGTATGGCGGCGGGCAACGGCGGGTGCCCTCGAAATCGGCGAAGAACCGGCTTGACCAGCGGCATTGCCAGGCTTTGCCCAGGCGTTGCGCTCGGCCCACACTTCCACACACGTTCGCACACTTCCACCCGAGTCTACACACGTTCACGCCACACGTCTCGACGGGGTTCTTTACACGTTTAGAACAGGGGCGCACACTTCGAAACGATCGCGCCGCGACTTGCGCACACTTGTAAGTTCCACACTAATCTGCCTACTTGCGAACACGCGGCCACGAAAAGGCATTGCACTCTTGGATTTGCCGAAAAGAAAGGATTTTTCTCATATCTAAAGTCCCATGGAAAACGAAATTGCGTTGCTTCTTGTCACGTGGTATATTTAAGGTGAAGTGAAACCCCCTTCAAATCAGTCGATTCGAATACAACACTTTTTTTTAAAGGATATTAGACCAAACTATCCGAAACTTTGACCCATCACTCCCGATCATCTAAGAATTGTCCTGACATATTAAAAATTTGGATTTTTGGAAAAAATGTTTGAACCGAGCCCAGACCAGAACCAAAATGGCGTCGAGCTCTCATATTTCGATTAGTGTACAATTATCGAAGGCTCTGATATGAGAAACGAAAGGGTCAGGACAATTTTACGACAATTTAGAACACTCTGGTAATCGATAAACTCGCATTTGAACGGGATAAAGGCAAAAAAAGTGTTGTATGCGTTTCTATGCTAAAACGATGGGAATATGAGGTCTCGGAGTGAATATTTAATTGACCTGGAAATCACAGATGGCGCAGGGGGTCCCTCTGCAGTCAATTAGGGCCCCAGAAAGCATGAATCCAGGGGATTTCTAGAGTTTTACTTCGATTTCTTGATATTTATTATACGAAAACGACAGGTGGAGTATGCCATTTGGTACAATATCCAATTTAATTCGACACAGCTGTCAATATAAAAACGAACGTCGGCAACGTAGGCATTTAGAAAAATCTTCTTTATCGACGTCGATCAAGTTCCTCGAGGTGTATCACTTTACCTTAAGGGGATGTGAATGTGACATCCGAGGGGTTAATCGTTCATGAAACTTGTTCTCCAAACTTGGCGTACCGAATCGTTTCAAACTGTAGAACGTGAATGTTAAGGTTATAAGGAAGGTCTTGACACCAATGAAATTTCATTTTTTCCTCAAAAATCTTGAAAATATCTATAAACAAATGTTGGGGAAATTGAAATCTCATGGGTGTCAGGACCTTTCTTATATATGTTCCTTCATATTCACGTTGTAAAGTTTGAAACGATTCGATACACCCAGTTCGGAGAAAAGTTTCATAAACGAGATCTCTTTGATGCCATTTTCACATCACCTTAAGGTTCTTCACGCGATTGTTCGAAAAGTTGTAATTTCCGCACTAATCTGTCTGCTTGCAAACGTGCAATCGCAATAAGTCGCCGCGAAAAGGCACTGGACTCTTGGATTTGCCGAAAAGAAACGATTTTTCTAATATCTAAATCAAAATGGCGTTGGTAACTGTCACGTGGTATATTCAGACACCTTTGCGGGATTTCTCGAAAAGTTGAAGATCCGCAACAATTTGTTTGCTTGCAAACATACAATCGCAATAAGTCGCCGCAAACAGGCACCGCACTCTAGATTTTGCCGAAAAGAAACGATTTTTCTAATATCTAAAACTGCATTAAAATCAAAATGGCGTTGGTAACTGTCACGTGGTATATTCAGACACCTTTGCGGGATTTCTCGAAAAGTTGAAGATCCGCAACAATTTGTTTGCTTGCAAACATGTAATCGCAATAAGTCACCGCAAAAAGACACCGCACCCTAGATTTTGCCGAAAAAAACGATTTTTTAAATAACTAAAGCCGCGTAAAGAAAAACCAAGATGGCGCTAGCTTTTGTTCCGTGGTACCCTCAAGTATCTTCAGACGACTGCTTCTGTATTTCTAAAAATTACATTTCTACGCAATCATTACTTCCTTCACTAAAATCTTCCGGTTGTAACAAATAGGGTTAAATTAGTTGTTATCAAAATATTAATTTTTTCCTTCCAGCAGAGATTTTTAACCGGCTTTGCGAGTCATAGATTTCCGTGCATCGCGGGGATCAATGACGCGACGGTCTGCGGGTCAAATCATGACAACGTCGATGAGTCACGCTCGAACTTCCTGATTCATCTTGGCCGGATCTCACCTGTCTCCTTTTTCTTTCCTGAATGGACTTTCGTGAGCGATAAACTCTCTCGAGTAACACGAGAATAAATAACGGATCTCCCAGCCGACAC